ATGATCTGGGATGAAGAATTGGAAAGTGATCTTTTATCTGAGGTAGGATCTTATTTTTTGGATGAAAATATTTTTAATACCAGCCATTATTATCTCAAACAAAGAGATTATAGTATAGCTACTTCAGGTCCATTTATAAACTACAATACTGTTTTACTTGTAGCTGATTTGAATTGATGTGTGTGTGTGTGTGTGTGTGCGAGAGAGAGAGAGAGAAAGAGATGTACATATGTTCTTTGTAGATATTTCTTCTTATCTTTTTAGATATGCTACATAGATCTGAGATTTTGTATATATGAGATTAATAGCAATATCAGTTTACAGTAAAAGAAGTATAAAACCTACTGAGCCATCTTGTATACTTATGTCTGCCAACCGAGTCTATATTTATATCTATTACTAAGTCTACTTCATGATTTTTTACAACAATTTTCACCCTCTACAAGGCCCAAGATCCACTCGCGGTAGAGGGTTACAGTGTAAGAGGCACAGTCTATGAGGATATGTGAGGAACATAACGGTTATCCCTAGACTTGAACAGGTTAGGATCGTAGCGATTGGGGAAGCATCTTCTTGTGAGTCAGTTCCACAGAGTCACATTTAATAGCAAGAAACTTTTCAAGCGGAAATTACATGCCAATGGAATATGAAAGGAAATAAGAGTTGTTCACTACAATGTGGTATGGTGGGTCTTAGATGTGAAGGTTAGAACTGGTGGGAAACAGGTTGTAGGGTGGAAAATAATTCATCACCCACAAGGCTGTGTAGTAACTTTGGGATTCTATCAAGACAAAAAGGGGAAAACTGGGCAGTTCCTGCCCTTATATATCAGCAGTACTCCATTTTGGGCCTGATTTGGCTCTTCTAAAGGAAGGAATAGCAGGAGTCAGGTGCTTACTGGAGCGATACAGAGGACCAATAATTTTTCTGCATCTTTAGTGATGCATCGTATGTATGAGGTACTCATACATATATATATATATATATATATATATATATATATATATATATATAGATAGATAGATAGATATATATAGATATCGATATATATATATATTATTATTTCAAATATTTTAAAAATATATTATCATCACAACATAGAAATTCCCTTCTTTTGTAACTAAAATTTTTGTTCCATTTTCAAGTGATATTGAATAAGTTCAGTAAAAATGATTTACTTTTGTAAGTAAAGTAGTATTATATTATATTATATTGAGGAGTTTAAAATATTGAAGTTTTGTAAAATGTTTTAAATAATAATATTATAATATTAAGCTCTACTTTGTATCAGGCACTTTTTAAAAACATAAATGCCAAAGAATTGTGGATTTTTAATCTAATTGTTCTTTCTCTTTATTTGTATATCTATCTATATATCTATATATATAGATATATAGATATATATACAAATAAAGATAAAAGAGATATGTGTGTGTGTGTGTGTGTGTATGTTATGTATATATATATATATATATATATATATATATATAATTAATACAAAATAAAATTTGTTACTTAGGTGATTGATGTTATATTCAGCACCTTGAACCCAGAGTTTTATTGACAAATCTTTTTGTAATTACTCAGTCTAGCTCAGTGGTTCTCAACCGGGGTCTACATGGACCCTAGGGGTCCATGTAATATTTCCGGGGGTCCACAGGCAAAACACAATTGTTGTGTTAATTAAAAATAGTAATAATAATTATTATTATAATTATAGTAGAATATTTTATTTGTATTAAATTAGTTTTCATTTAAAAATAAAGCTTAATCGTATACTATTTCTTTGATAATTAAAACCTTAAAATTTATATTAGTGAAGAATAGAAAATTGTTCTTATGTCCAATAGCTATGAAGGGGTCCACCAAGATAAAAAGAAGGGGAAAGGGGTCCATGGGTAAAAAAAGTTTGAGAACCACTGGTCTAGCTGGTAGTAGGTTTCAGCAATTGACCGCCATTATTCACATTTTTCATCATTTTTACACTAAGTTTGCTTGAACTGTTTAAATAAAAAAAATAGTGCTTCTATTCAAACATATGTACCCATTAAATATAACATTTAAAGTACTAATAATATATATATATATATATATATATATATATATATATATATATATATATATTATTAAATACAAGAGTCTTGAATAATTTTATTATTCAACTATTTTCAAATTATGAATAACTTAACTTCTCAGTTAAGGAACAAATTCTGGCAGAAATTGTCCAAAGTTCATTTTAGAAGAAATATGATCCAAGCTTTCAACTTTCTTGAAAGTGATCATCAGTGTAGGTCGGATGATGACTTAAGAATGTTGTATTTTATTGTTGTTGTTTTGAATAGGAGCGTTTATTCTGAGCCTTTGCATGTACAGCAAGGCTGGAATCCATGTAAACATCTTTATATTTTTAAAAATCTTTTAACACTCCATTGCCACTGTTAAATAAGGTTAAATAAACACTCCTATTTAAAACAACACAAAAATAAAATGCTTCTCAAACAGTCAAAACATGAGGAAAGACTAGCAATCCCCAAAACAATTGAAAAACCTTGAAAATGGTTAAAGAAGTGGCCGAAAGCACTTGGAACAATGAAAATTATAGAAAATTTCTGTCCTCCCTTACTTCTACAAAATAGAAAAATGGAAGAATGTTGAAAAGACTAAATAAAAACCAATCTCCCTTGTTATATATATATATATATATATTCATGAATTATTCATACAAAAGCAAATACAAAGGTTAATGATTTAATTGACGAGAAATCCATCGTCGCAAACAATTCAAATTATATACAAAAACCCTGAACCTGTTATGAATGAAAAGATCCTTGTTTTTATAAATTTCTGTTGCATTAGTTAAATTAATTAAATCATTAACCTTTGTATTTGTTTTTGTATGAATAATTCATGAATTTGTAAATTGATTGCACCTTTATTGAAATATATATATATATATATATATATATATATATATTATTAAAGTATATTTGGGCAGCAACCTTTTTTTAAACATCTTTCATTAAATATGGCAGACAAGGAAGATTTAATTATTTTGTTAAAATTTTCCTTGTCTGCAATATTTAATGAAATATATATATATATATATATATATATATATGTGTGTATGTGTGTGTGTGTGTGTGTGTGTGTGTGTGTGTGTGTGTGTGTGTGTGTGTGTGTGTATACACATACAGATAAGCAAATAAGTATCTATTTAATCAATGGTGTATATATACTGTAAACATAGGTATATGTGTAACTATTAATATATAAAATTTATATATATACATACATTCTTATCTATCTATTTATGGATCTATCTCAACCTATTCTTTTCTATTTAAAATTTATCCTTTACTTTTTCTATTTTTCCAGGTGAAGGCTTTTATCCCACAGGAATATGAACAAGAAATTCTATTCGATGCTTTACGGAAATATCAAAAGTAAGTAACACTAAATTCATAATTATTACCATATCAAACAATATAATAGTTATCAATCTTTATTTATTTATATATATCCTGTCCCATCTGTAGTAGGAAGGGAGGTAACTTTGTAGTAGGAAGTAGGAAAAAGGTATATCAACTAAAGTAGGTCAGTGTATGAGGTATTATTTCCCTTAGACATTTTAATAATCTATACAAATAAAATATTTATCTGCATTTAGACAAAATTAATTCCCAAACAAAATGAACTGTTTAATTAATCATTTCCTTTATATTTCATAGATTGCAGTTTTATTTGTTCAAGCTGTTCATGTGATGCTCTCAGATACCTTTGTCTATTAAGTGATTGCCTTGCTTCAGCTTGGTCTTGAAATAGGCTTTGCTGTTGCTGGCTTTATCAGTGTCATCTTTGTTGTTACTGTCTTTGTTGTTCTGTTGCTAAACTTTTTCTTCCAAGAATTTCCATTTCATTCTTATATTAACCACATAAAATTTTTGACATAAAAAGATATTGAGCAAAAAGCAATTTATATAAAACCAGGAGTAAACAATGAATGATAGATACTAGTGAACATCTAAAAAATATAAAGAGAACAGATTAAATAAACGGTTCATTGGCCTCTATTTTAGATGTGAATCCTTTATTGAATCTGAATACATTGTTTCAAGACTTTTGTTTCATTGTATCTCACTGTAAAAACTTTCTAACTATTGCTGTCATTTTAGGTGTCATGGGTACACAAGTATTATAATATTTCTTTTAAATTTATAGTTATATTACAATATATTAGAATATTATTTTAATTTTATAGCATAATACAACTAATACAAATTGCATTCTGATTCAAAACCTCTCTCTATTAATCATTTGAAAGACAACCTTTCTGCCTCTTGCCAGCATGGCTAATGCTAACCTCCAGGAGAGTAACTCATTGCGCCTTCTTGGTCTCAGTTTTTCTACTGGAATGATTATATTGAATCAATTGCTATCTCTGGTGTTAAGAAGAATGGGTCACTGTGATCTGACAGACAATTTTTCTTGTCAAAATCCATCTTTCATATTTACCATTCATTTGTGCAGTGAACATTACTATCAAAATGGAACAGTCCATTATTTATGAGGTATTGGCATGGTTTCTTTCTTTCTCTCACTGAAACCAAGTAGCATCTTTAATATATCTTTTCCATCTTCCCACGTGATCAAAACAGAATAGTGCATTGTTTATGAGGTATTGATAGGAGAAATTAAACACCTTTATCCTCCTTTCTTTCTTTCTTTCTTTCTTTTTTTCTTTCTTTCTTTCTTTAATTTTCTTACTGAATCCAAGTAGCATCTCTGATATGTCTTTTCTGTTTTTCCATGATATCAAAACAGAATAGTCCATTATTTATGAAGGTATTGGCAGGGTTTCAGCTAGAGGGCATATGGGCAACCTCACTTCACTCCAAGGACGTCTGCAAAAGGGATATGAGGGCAATAGACATGGACATAGTGAGGTGGAAAGACATTGGTAACAATTGCTCATGCTGGAGACGCAATTTAAACCAAGGGCTGGGGTGAGGAGGAAAGAAACAGAGGCTTCCTCCCTGGGTGAAGTGTGCTCAAAGGAACGAATACATCACAGTGATATCAGGGGAGAACGTCTTCACACACATTGGTTGCACACTCCTGTGTGAGCCGGTACAACCATAATAGATGCATAACTTTTTAGGTGCAGATCATTAGTTTCTTGGGACTAATGGATGACACACGTGTGGGTAGGAGCTAAGGAAGGAAGTAAGGGAGGGATAAGGAGAATTATAATTAGGTAGATATGGATTTGAAACCATCAATTGGGGAGATTAATTTAAAGCCATATTATTCAGAGACCTACAAATGAACCATTGTATACAAATGAACCATTGTATACTGAACCATATTGAACCATTTGAACCATTGTATACTAGAAATGATTAATTATGTGGATATTATTTATTTAAAACAAGTATTTCACAGAAATAAATTTAAAAATATCTCTTACTTTTAAAAGACATCTTGTCACTTTTTTTCAGGTCCCTGGATCTACCAACTTTAATGTCAGACTTAAAAACTGTTATCAATGGACCAGAAAGAATACTTCTCTATGAAGAGATACGGTGAGTCAATCTGAAATGAAAAGCTCTAGAAAGTTCATTTTCTTACCATATTGTTAAGTAAAGTTATCCAAGGATATGGCCATGGTGAGTGATCAGAATGTTAGGATTTTGACAATGACAGGTTTGAACTTCACCATGATCAATCTGTCAGGAAGGTATTCAGACTTTCAATTTTTCCATTGTTCAGTCTCTCAATCAAATAGTGGATTTCCCTGCTCATTTCCCTGATCAATATGCTTCTTTACTTGATTCGTTCTTTACCTCCTCTCCTGGCCCTTGTCAAGCATCACAACTCTGTCCTCTGAGCAATTTTTGATCATGCAGTAGTATCTGTTCATAATTCTTTTGAGTTGTCTATGTTATAGACAAGGGTATGTTTGCAAGAAAGAAATACGACAACAGCAGAAATAGATTTACGTGATTTATTTCAATAGGAACGTGTGGTTTTGGGACAGCTACCTTGTGGTATAGTTCATAAGCTGGCTTCTGATCTGGGTTGATCTCTCATAGTAGTTCTCACTGGTTGGCGTGGTGCTCCTCCTGCTGAATGCTGCTGACTGATCGTGACAGGTCTCTTCCCTTGCCTCCTATTGACTGCTGTTGTACTTCCCCGTGTGATCCCTTTTATGGCGTTTTTTATGGCTTAACAGGCTCGAAAAATGACGCAAGTATAATTAGAAGGGAAGCATTTTTATTGGTCAAAAAACACTTTAAAATATTATTTTATTTTTCGACCGGAACTCGTGCATCAGGCTTATGCGTAGATGAAGATAATGGTCATTTTGTGACGGGGCCTTGTCCCATTCACATCCGGCTCTCGCTCATAAGTATGTTAGTTTATTTGCCTGCAAATCATCCAAGATATGTCTTATTTTATTTTATAACATCTATTAGACAGGAACCACTGATTTGCAAAACTTCTTTCCATTATCTTCACATGGATTGTGATTAATTAAAGCCAGGTTAAAACCAGACTGGAAGTTTTTTGTAACTTCTTGGAACTACCAGGTGAAACCACAATCTTCTTCTTGGTTCACACCTGTCTGTTCAGCTGCTATAGCTCAAAGGAATCATTTTTTTCTGGCTGTATCAGCATGATAGTTCCAAACACAACAGATGAATCTTTGTGTCTGCTCACAATAATTATAAAGGGTTTGAGTTTAATGGGTTTTTTCTACTACAGATCACAGCAGATTGTATGATCTCACTTAGAAACTGTAACTAAGGCTTGTTCAGCCTAGTTGTAGTATAAACCACAGTTTGGCTCTATGAAGAAACACAAAAAATACTTCTTCATAATAAAATTAACAGCTATATATATTTTATAATTAAATAACCAACAATGCTTTTTTTATAGTAAAATGACCAACAATACAATACTAAGAAGTATAAAAATACATTTTTATAAGAAGTTACCAATAAATTTTTGTAGTGAAATTACCAGCAATACCTTTTTTTAAATAAAATTACTAACAATACATTTTATCATCTACAAGTGATATATTGAACAAAAGATATTTTTACTCTAAAAGTACAAAATTATGTACAAAATTTTTGCAGTTAAAGGCATAAGATTGCCTACAACATATTTAGATTTTGGCATTAAGTAACCCATAGAGGTTGTTATTCCACTAAAAAAAATCAACCAAATAAATTGTCCATCACATTCAATGAAATATGCACAAAAGAAGGAACGGTTTGCAAATACACAATAAACATCTTACAAAAGAGATAAATGTTTATCAGATACTTATATAATCAATAAATGACTAGCAACAATTGTGCTTGATTATTTAACAATCCACTGTACAACCTTATAAAGTTTACAAAGTGTTTTAGTTGCCATGGCAACATTCTTACTTCAAGACACATAAACTTATCTTTGATCTTTATTATTGTGCTTTCAACAAACGATATTGCTGAATATCTTTAAGTATAACAGACAAGGGGATTGTTTATCTTTTTAGGTCATGGCTTCTCGGATTTGATTAATCATTTCTGTCTCAGAATGAGTAGTTCACCTTATTTAGATGATTAACAAACAGTCTAACGTCCTCATCTTTCCTATTACTATCAAAATATTTCAGCCATTCTGTTCTCCAACCTTCTTTAGGTATCTACCAATTCAGGTAACCTTCAAAGAATTTTGAGCTGGACCCTTTATTTAATCTATAAGCTAGATTGTTCACATTTCAATGTCCATCTCTAGGGATATATTGTCTGGTTCTTATTTAGTTATAGCAAAGGAAAACAACAATGATTAGCATGTGGTTATTGCAGTGGGCCATGGAAACAGCTGACAAGTAGTCAGCAGTCTATGCAAATAAGTTTGCTATACTTAAACTGAGTACAAAACAATTCCTCTGATCAGTAGTAGGTTTACACATGGAAACACCTATTCCTGTGTGATCACCAAAGTCAAGTCTGGCCAGTACCTAAATGGGTGACCACTTGGTAATACCAAGTGCTGTAAGCTTGGATGTGCATATAGTATAATCAATAATGGCTCAGAATTATTAATCAAAGAGCCAAATTCCAATTCCAGCTAGGTACATTATATTCACTTATGTGTAAATACCTTTTGTAAAAGTAGAAATCCACCTCTTCTCCTGCCAGTTATGGGTTAAACCATTATTATCTCCAAAAATAAATGATTAAAATAATAAAATAAAAATGCATATAAAATATTTAGGTTTCAGTATTAAATAACCCATAGAGGTTTTGATATGCAGCTAAACAAAAAACAACCAACTAACTTTTTAGATGCCATGTATGATGCACGCTTTTATTTCTCTTTTTCAATTCGTAATTGACTTATTAATACAAGATTCTAATGGACTTAAAATGAGGGTTCAGTTTCCTATTGTCATTAAGTATGAAAGTGATCACCCCAGAATTACTACATATTAATGCCCTTCCTTAGGTCCATAAAATTGTCCTCAAAATATTTAGATTTCAGCATTAAATAACCCATAGAGGTGTTGATATGCCGCTAAACATAAAACAACCATCCAATGTTCACTTGTAAGCTTTCTGGAATAGCAAGTGTACTCATGGTATTGATTGTGTTAGTTTGAAGTTTGTGTTCTAAATTCGCAACAGTCAAACATATTGTTGCGACTGTTTGGCAATTGTCGATATATTGGTGAACCTACACCAATTCTTCCTTTTTACTACTCAGTTATTGTTTGTCTTGCTTCCACTGATTATAGATTTAATAAATGGTCCCATTTGAAATTCTTTGAAATTTACTTGGAACACCTGAAGTAGTACAAAAGGCACAATGGCTGAAATATTGTAATAACAACTACAAGGATGAGTACAATAGTCCAAATGCAAATAATTTGAATAATGATTAATAATTTATTTACAGACACACCACCTCCAACCTCCTAATCAGCACAAACAACCAGTTTGATGGCCATGAACACAAGCAAGCATTAACATTAGCCCTAAAAATAAAAAAAAACTGTTTGCTCCCCCTTCCACTCTATCCATTCCTGATCGACACACTCAACCCTCTTTAATTACCGTATGCTAAAGTGTAGAAACATTTGATCTGATGATCTCATGGTATCATGAAACTTAGAGTTGCTATACAACATTGATTTCTATGTCCACATGTATGTGTATATATATATATATATATATATATATATATATGAAGAAAATTATATGGAAAAAACAAACAAAAATCCTTATATGAAATTATGCTGTTTTAATGTTAATATAATGTCAATGTCGGACGTTTTGGTCTAATAAACCATCTTCAGGACATTAACATTATCAATTCAACATGACAAAGACGATAATGTTAATTATATTTTATGAATATGTCCTGAAGATGGTTTATTAGACCGAAACGTCCGACGTTGACATTATATTAACATTAAAACAGCATAATTGCATATAAGGATTTTTGTTTTTACGTATATTTTCTTCATACTGTCGGATCTATATCCATATATTTACATATATATATATATATATATATAATATATATATATATATATATATATATATATGTGTGTGTGTGTGTGTGTGTGTGTGTGTGTGTGTTTTTTGGTTTTTTTATATAAATATTTAGATGTGAATAATTATATTTATATTTTAATTCTATCTTTATAACTTGAAGTAAATAATTAGTGTCTATGCATGTTTCTTTTTGTTTTTTGTTACGTTGATTTTAAATACAAAAAATTAAAGAGAAAATGGAAAGGAAAAAAGAAGAGAAAAAACAAAAGAACACTATCTCTTGATAAAATATGTACTGTCCCATTGTTGCAACAACCAGATCTACTTAAAAAAATGTACTTAGAAAAATTTAAATTATGTAAGAGTCAGTCTTAACTCACCACCTGAAAATTGAAATTATCAGTGAGGATAAATATTTATATTTATTAATATATAGTTTATAGCTCTCTTATATTGCATCACTGTGCAATATTATACATTCATTTACATTACATATATATATATATATATATATATATATACACAAATAAGAGAAAGAACAGATGGAGTAAAATTCCACTGTTCATTTTTAGTTTTAAAAAAGTGCTCAATACAAAGTAGAGCAATAATAATAAAAACATGTAGAAATCGCTACACAAAAAGCTTTCATGTTTCAATACTTTGATTGTACTTCTTCAGGCCATGGTAAGTAACTGGTGATTAATCAAAATATAAAATAATAATAATAATAATAATAATATATATATATATATATATATATATATATAGTTTCTGCAAAGGGCTCTTCATTGAGTCTTCATCACACTAGATAGGGAGGATTAGATGTGATAGTCAACAATTAACTACAGAACTCAAAATTGATTGCTGCATTTAAGTATTGCATTAATATTTAAGGTTACCTTTTAAAAGATCAATGAGAATTCTTCTGCCAACACTTAATTTAAAGACAGTTTGATGCATGTAGGTCCTTACATTCCATACAAACAATTATTTTTATTTCATGGGTTACTTTTGCAACTAATTTCAGTTATTTTCTTTTTATGAAAATTGTTATTGTACAAAAAAATTAATTGCAAATAATCACATAAAAAATCACCAAAAGCAATCACAGTAATGAAAACTCTAAAATTTCAGGATTGTGGCTTCAGATTCAGCCTGGGATGGTTTTAATTTGCTCACAGAACCTGCCTAATTCAAAAATGATATGATATGTTGGTGTATGGACCCTAGGGGTAAAGTTGAAAAAGTCTGACACACTGACATTTGCATTTATTATATAGATTATCGATACCTCCAAAGATTTGCTAGAAAATGAGCATACATGATGAAAAAATGGCCCAAACTTAATGAAAACAAATTTTTATCATCAAAATCTTTATGTTATTATTAAGAGGAAACATCAAAAAATTTTTAATTATTAAACTTTTTAATCCTTTTTAGTACCTTCAAAATTTTGGTGAAAAATGTTTTTCTGGTATCAACCGGGGAACCATAAATTATTATAGGACATTCGAGAGTCATTTTATTTTTATTAATAATACTTCGATAATTTTTTACCTTTTTTCCATGTGGATGAGGCTATTATATTTGTATTATCAACAATTATGTTGCAGATGGAGGTTGGTAGGTCTCCATGGGTATTTAAATGAGATCTAATTGAGAGTTATCTACCTTGTCAGTCATTTTTAATGAACTTGTAGGTATATATATATATATATATATATATATATATAAGTTCAAATGCATTAATGTAACCTTGTGTGTAATGAATTATTTACATGTCTATAACCTTTTTCCCACAGATAAAATGAGCTACATTTCATAGTTCTAACACTTCAGACCTTCCAGTTAAGACTCACTATACCATGTACACACAGACTATACATCCTCATTCTCTTCGTATTCCATTAGTAAGGAAGAAGTTCCACTCAGCTTCTTACTCAGAACTGTTACATTGTGGAACAGACTCCTGAGAAGATACTTCCCTTGTTATCCTTGTTATCTTAACCCCTTCAAGTCAAATGTTATCTTTTGCCCTCTCCTTGTATTCCCTACTTTGAGTGGTTCTTGAGCCTTGTCTGAATAGTATTGAAATATATACCAAAAAAATTGAAATATATGAATGAAATAAATAATAACTAAATAAGTTATGCAGATGTCATGACCCTAAGCATTGACCCTAAACAAAAGAACCCCTTCCTCTAGTGACCTATATAATGATCTATATAATGATCTATGTCAGTGGTTTTCAACCTTTTTGCTGGAGCGGAACCACAAGGAAACATCCCAGTGGCTCGAGGAACCCCTGCAATAAATTAATTGTCTTATGCAAAAAAGCTTTCAATTATTAAAATAAAATAAAAATACTTATCTTCAGATTTATTTACAAAAAAATACAAAGACAAACTGTAAAAATATTGTATACGTACATATGCAATTTTAATCTTGCTTCTACGGTTTTTACACATGTATTAAAAAAACAGTTTAAATGGATTACATTTATTTTCATTAAAAATTAAATGAGAAACTGGAACCTGATGTTTCTTACACAAATCTTTAATATTGAGTCATGTTTTTGACAGACACACGAAGTTCATCTTCCACAGACAACAGTTGTGATCGCTTCTTGCGCTTGATGGTTGTCAGAGCTGAAAATCCAAATTCACGCAAGTATGATGTTGAAAATTGCATAAGAAAGCGCAGTGCTTTCTGAGTAATTGAAGGATATTTCTTTTTAACCAGCAACCAGAATGCATCCAGGCTAAGCTCAGAAGGCTTCAATTTTAATTTTCTGTCACTTGAAACACTGGCAAGTTCATCTTCTGTTAATGTAAACTGTTCTTCAGATGGCTCAAATTCCACAAAATGAGCTTCTAACCCAGTCATACTAGTCGACAGATATCGATGCAAAATATTTATCAAGATTTATTAACAAAGTGCCCAAGTCCACTTTGCTCTTTCCTCTTAATAAAAATATAAACATTTTGATGGAAAAAGTTTGTTTTATTAAGTTTGGGACCTTTTTTTATTCATACTATGCTGTTTTGTTATTGATTTAGTGGAGTTATCTAAACACATATATCTGCAGAGGCGAATTAAAAATTACTGTCAATCATAGTACTTGTGTAACTTCTTGCGGAACCCCTAGTCTTTACTGGCGGAACGCTAGGGTTCCGCGGAACCCTGGTTGAAAACCACTGATCTATGTAATGACCTATATAATGATCTATGTAATGACCTATATAATTTCTCTATATGATGATCTATATAATGACCTATATAATGATCTATATAATGATCTATGTAATGACCTATATAATGATCTATATAATGATCTATGTAATGACCTATATAATTTCTCTATATAATGATCTATATAATGATCTATATAATGACCTATATAATGATCTATGTAATGACCTATATCATTACTCTATATAATGACCTATATAATGATCTATATAATGACCTATATAATGATCTATATAATGACCTATATAATTGTTGTGGTAAACCCTCCTACAGTAGAATGAACACTTCCTACTCTCGTAAATAATAACTGCAAGAGTCGCAGGGCAGTCGGTTGGGAAGCGGAGATGCAGTGTTAACCTACCGTTCGGATGTACATCTCTATCTGCTTATTACTAACACTCTTGCTTTGTATATATCTGTTATTTCAATACACTTGTTCAATCCTACCTTTGTCTTCCATGTCTTCCTAAACAGGCCACAACAATAATGACATATAATGATCTACAATGACTTAATCATTGCTGTTATGGCTTTCAATGACCTAATAATTGTAAAGGACACTTAGCTTAAAAGTGGTTTCCATGATTGAAAACGGGAATAGAGTTTTATTTCCTGTTTGGTGGTACATTTTCTTTTACAAGACTTTTTGATCCCAAGGCTGGTAGAAATTAATTTCGCTGTACAAAAAAGGAATGTATACTGAAGATGCCCACCCAACAAATATAATGTAGATAGCCATAAGAAATAGTGATTAAAAAATATCCATTATTAATTGCTTCAAATTAATTTGTTTAGATTTTGGGCATGAAAATAAAATTAGCAAATAGAGACTTTGAAATGACCCTATGAGAGATGTGCATTACTAATGGTAAGACACATTTAGATTATACTTAGTTTTTCTGATTGAAAAATGGTATACAAGCTTGATTCCTGCTGGTGGGGGACACATTTTCTTGCCTGTGAAAGAATATAAGAAAAACAAAGACATTATTAAGTAGCGAGAACAATAATAAAACAGGAAGTAAGAAAACGGAAAATAACGACTGACATTGCATTTAAATTTTTGAAGTCCAAAGATGACTGTGAAGCAAAGATCCGGAAGAGAGTTCCACAAGTGAGAAGTGCGAGAGGAGAAACTGTTAGCATAGAATTTACAGTTACATCTAGCCATTTTAACTGTAAAATCACGAGACCTCACTGCCAATCTAGTACTGTGCTTAAATTCATATAGTTTAGCTAGTGTAAAGGAACGTTCATCAGAACAATTATCATGAAAGTATTTATAAAAAAGCATTATATATATTACAGAGGTGGAAAAGTGACTGAAATCAAGATGCCAGAACAGGACTAATGATATTGCAGATTCTTCTTTGTATTTTATCAAGGATCTCTATGTTTCCCCATCGAATATGAAATCTTTAGTAATATGGATATAATCAAATTGCAATCTTATTTCTGTTTCAGGCCTTTGATTCCTTTGAAGCAACAAATGGATTATGATTCACTATGTCCTGTGCTTCCATCTGATACCTTGAAAGTGATTCGTCTGCAAAGATATGGAAATGAAAGTTTAGGTTTTGCAGTAAGAGGAGGTAAAAATTGAATTGCATTTTCATTCGATCTTTTTGTTAATAACCTTTTTGTACATTTATTTTGTGATGTTAACAAACACTCGTTTGACACTTTTGTAATGTCAACAAATATTTGTCACTTTCATAGTTGCAGATACATTTATAGTACACCGTCGAACAATGCTGGTGTTGGACACCTTCAAATAACACTCACACTAATAGTACTTGCTCGATAATACTCACTCAAAATTAACCACTGAATAGTAATCTGAATAATGAAATAGTATAGTGAATAGAGTAGAGAATAGCACTCCATATAGTAATAGAGGATAGACTAGAAATGGTGATTTGTGTAGTAATAGAGGTTAAAATAGAAATGGCAATCAATTAGATGTCACATAACTTTTACTCTTTTTCTCATATTCTTTCAAAGGCAGTAACGCTCTGCATTTTAGTGGCTTTATTGCCTTGTTTCAGGTGAAATGATTAAAAAAAGCAAAAACCTATTTAAGTAGACATCTCTCTTTTTAAAACAGTGAAATTAGTGTCTACTAGCCTGATAAGTTATATTAAAGAAAATGAATCAAGCTTGTATACCATTTTTCAATCAGAAAAACTAAGTATAATCTAAATGTTTCCTTTATGGTCACATGATCTACTTAATTCAATAATGGGATCACCTGTGTTTGCTTACTGGTGATCTATATTTAAACTCAGGTGTCAGCAATGACACTTTATTCCTATATAAAAGTTTACCTATATTTATAATATGTGTCTGTACAGTAATATAACAGTTATCATTGCTGAAAATGAAACTGATGATCTGAGTTCAAATTCCAATTCATTGCATTCACTTTCCCACAAATGAATGAATCCATCATTTCTACCCCAAATGTATGTCAAACAGCAACGTCTCTTACCTAGGGTAGCAGTCAGGCTAGGAGATGGACACCTGTGTTTCAAAATGTATCTGGATTGATGAGTTCCAATTCCGGTTGGGTTCGTTATATTCACTTATGCACAAATACCCTTGGGAAAGTTACCTCTTCTCCCCCAGTTATGGGTTAATTAGTAAGACATGAATCCCTAGACCATTATTAACTCCAAAAAAAATTCTTGCAGTCGGAAAAATATTTTCTAGTTTTAAATAACCTGCGAACTGTTGATAAGCCAGTTAAATATTCCGGGGCATTATCCATTACACCACCCACACATCCAAGCTTATAGCACCTAGTATATCCAAGCTATCACCAATCTAAGTACTGACCAGGCTCGATGTTGCTTAACTTCTGTGATCATATGGAAACTGGTGTTTCAATATGATATGGCCATAAGTCTGTCAAATGGTGTAAAATCATTTAAAGAAGATTCAATGATTTTTTTTCCAATGATGTTTACCTTGTACAAGGCCCGAGAGCCACTCGAGGTAGAAGACTACAGAGTAAGAGGTACAGTTTATGTTGATATGTGGGCAAGATAACGGTTAACCCGAGACTTGAACAAGTTAAGATTATAGTGATCGAAGACGTATCCTCTGGGGCATGGATTCCACAAAGCAGCAGTTTGTGAGAAGAAGCTGCTCAAGTGGAACTTTCATCTTACCAATGGAATACAAATGGAATGAGGGTGGTTTGCTACAATGTGCTTGGCATGGTCGGTTTTAGCCATGAAGATTAGAATTGGTGGAACAAAGGAATGTATTTCATCTGAACACTTTATATGGTCATAGCAATAGAGCAGCGAGAGGCTTACAATGTTTCATCTGGGAGGAAAGGGGTTGTAGGATGGAAAATAATTCATCACCCACAAGGACGCAGAAACGTTTTTGAACCCTATCAAGACTGGAAAGTGAAGACTGGGCGGCTCCTGTCCATATATGGCTGTAGTATTCCATTTTGGGCCTGATCTGGCTCTTGTAACAGTAAAGGAAAACAGGAGTCAGGTTACTTTGTGAAGAGTCATCAAGATATCCAACGTTGTGTCACATGCACAAATGTCTTTTTCGGGAAATGCAAATTCTATTCACTAGTGCAAAGACAAACTGTTCTTGTTTATAACTTTAACATGTCAGTTATAAATCTAACATTTTTTTTTTTATTTGAATCTCTCTCTTCTTCTTCTACTCTGTCCATTTAAGACATTGGTGATCATGGTCCTCCACAACTTTCAGCTTTTTGTATCCCTTAGTAAAGTTTTGCTATCTCTCCTATTTCATGTTATGCCAACCATCAACCAGATTACGGCTGCATCATGTTAAAACACTAGTTCACATATGACCATCAAAGTTAAGCAATGTCAAGCCTGGTGTTGTAGCATAACTATAGACGATAATGGGTATGTCCCCATTCACATAAATAGAGTAGTAAATACTGTATGTTGGTCTGCAGTTGGAGATTCATTGTGGAATTCACTTGACTCACTTCTAGCAGTTGATTACTTCTTCTATGCGCCACTGGCAAATCTTATATGCGTTTTTCTTGTCCTAAGTATTATTGTTCATTACCAACATTTGTTTGTTTATTGTATTCAGTAAACTTCCCTAAGTTACAATACCTGGTCAGTACCAAGGTGAGTGACTGTTTGGGAATAGCATGGATGTGCAGGTGGTGTAATAGATAATAGCTCAGAATTGTTAATTGGAGAGCCAAGTTCCAATTCCAGTTGGGGTCATTATATTACCTTATGCACAAATAACCTTCGGAAAGGTATGAATTCACCTCTTCTCCCTCCCCCCTCCCAATGTAATGAACCCAACTGGAATTCAAACTCAGCTCTTCGATATCTCATTCCAAGCAAATAAGATTAACTTTTATAAAATCTTTTTTTTTCTTTTCGATATTCATGATCTGGATTGTTTAGTCAATAGTAATATAAAAAAAATTCGAAAAAAAACCTGATTATTTCTAATTGCAGTTGTCCAACTCTACCAGCGTCTTACTAATTAACCCATATGCTGGGGAGAGAAGATTCATACCTTTCCCAAGAGTATTTACACGTAAGTGAATGTAATGAATTCAAGTAGAATTTGGACTCTAGTTTCTGTTATTGAAACCAAAGTTCAAACATTCCAAATCGTTAAAAAGGACTGACTTGTTTTCCAATAAAAATAAGTTTAGAAATCCAATAATTATTACTTAATAAAGAAATTATCTTTATTTATTCAGGACTGGAACATGGAATAGGAATGTTTGTGTCTCAGGTCTCGCAACAATCCCAGGCCTATCAAAAAGGCCTCCGGGTAAGTAACAATCATTTTTGCAGATCTTTATTTTTTTAATTTATTACTAACATAGTATCAATCAACATTGCTTGGGTTATTCATGCATAGATCTACTCTTTTCCCCAGGATCAATGTGTTGTATCTGTTGATTGCTTGATTGATTGTTTCATTTTCTATGGTTTATCAACCTATTGCAGTATATTTAAAATAAGAAAATATATTTTTTTTAGATTGTAAGATTGTAGGTTGGATGTTTTTGATTAGTGGCATATCAACCTCTATGAGTTCTTTATTGCCGAAATCTAAATATCTTGTACACAATTTTATTTTTATATTTTTGAAGATAATAATGATTTTAGTGATACAAGTCTTACTAATTAATAAGACTTCATCAGAGAGGCATCCTCTTTCACAAAGAAGCAGTTGATGGGAAGAAGCTGCTCAAGTGGTACTTACATCACATCAAAGAAATATGAAGGGAATTAGGGTGGTTCACTAATCTTAGCTGTGAAGTGTAGGGGACACAGCCTGCCCCCACCTCCTGATGTAAGCAACATAAACTCACCTTTGTTTTGCATGGGAAACTCAATCTGTGTGGACTGGTTGATGTCTAACCTAATTGAAAGTCTGTATAGTGACCACACTAGACGCAATAAAAATCAATCTTTGTTAACACTGGGGACAGACTTAAAGGAACGCCACTAATATGACAGAAGCAAATTATGTCTACAAACTGGTGGAACTAAGGAAAATAGTTTGTCTGAATACTGTACATGGAAAAAGCAATAGAGCAGTGAGAAGCTTGCGACATTTCATCTGTGAGAAAGAGGCTGTAGGTAGAAAATAATTTGTCACCTACAAGGACGCAGAGACTCTTTGAGCTCTTTCAAGCATGGAAAGTGTAGATGGGGGGAAGAAAAATGGATTTATATCTTTCCCAAAGGTATTTGTACATAAGTGAATATAACAAACCCATTCTGGAATTAGTACATGGTTCTCCAATTAACAATTCCAAGCCATTATCCATTACACCACCCGCACATCCAAGCTTACAGCACCTGGTATTCCCAAATGGTCACCCATCCAGGTACTGACCAGGCTTATATTTGAGTAGACACTCCATTTATTTATCAAACAGTATATTTATTTATTCTCATCTACAGGTCGGAATGTTTGAGAAATCTCATATAAAAAAAATAGATGCTCTCTAGCAGGATTTGAACTTCATCCCTCTGCGTTAGATCTTACGTGCCTTAACTGACTCAGCAACAAAGAAGCTTTGTCGATCAAGCAAGGTCTGAACAGTGCCTTTAAGTGAAATACAACAGCAAATACAAGCTGTAAAATGAAAATTTCATTTTTCATAAACAATGAATTTGGAGTTGATTCCCTTGGTTGAAAGTTGAGTTGAAATACCAGGAGGGAGTGGATAAGCCACCCACGTTCACTGAGGAGATTTAGTGAGAGGTAATAATATGAGAGAGTAGAAGAAGGGATTTCCATAGAATTATCAAATTCTCTTATTTTACCAGTTTGGGTGAATGTCAATAAATACTAATGCGCAAACAAAAAGATACCTGCAACGATTCCATCTTGGCTGCCTTATCATCAAACATAAATCTTAATCTGGGATACAGTTAGTTTGGGATTGAAGCAGTCACTTTAGTGACCAGCTATTGTGTTGGAAGTCTTGGACAACTGGCTAGGGTGTTGTACATTTACAGACAGACAGACAGACAGATAGATAGATAGATAGATAGATAGATAGATAGATAGATAGATAGATAGATATGAATGTTCATTTTATTCCACTTCAAACTCCTTATTTTAATCTCTCCTCTCAAAACCAAGCAAAATAATAAATATGGCTTTCTACATTTATTTTTCAGAAGGGAGATGAAATTATCCGTGTAAATGGCTTTACAATCAGTGAAGCAATCCATGAAGAGGTGTTAAGTTTAATCAAGGCAAGGAATGAAATTGTCCTTAAAATAAGACGTAAGTCTCAAAAACTTGTTTTTTTTATTCATTTTCTCAATAACCCTAACAGAATTAATGGCTGTGACCAGGTTAAAATTTTTATTTAAAACCAAATATGTATAAAAAGCTAGAAAAAAACAAATAATTTATTTTATATAAAGCCAGAAAAAAGCATAAAAACATGAGATTCTATTTACTTATTAATATATAGTGGGATTTTAGGCATTTTATTATGAAACCACTTTATTATTTCTTTCAATTTTAAACATTTGTATAGTGAATTTTATTTTTTAGCTGTAAATTCGAAAATTTAATTTGACAATAGTCAAACAAGTCTGATTCACTGGAAAATCTTGTTTTTTAGTGCTTTCTTTTTAGAATTTTAATAAGACTTTATGATTAAAAACATTTTTAGATAAATTTCATGAAATTTAAATTTTTTAATTGAATTTTTTTTTTTACCTAACTTATTAAACCTAATGATAACTGTTTTATCAATTACCCATTTCTTTAGTATGTGTATCTGTAAGGCTTTTTTTTTCATTTAAAGAACATAATATTAACTTATGGAAGACACATTAGAGAAGAGTGTCAAGAATGTAAAAGACAAGAAAAAATGGTCATTACTTTATTTATTTGTTTATATGATAGAGAATTATGGAAGAGAAATTTCTTCCATTTGATTGGCAAATGAAATTAGCATAGGTTTGCAAAAGAATCATTACCGTTTTTATTTTTACAATAAATTTCTGAGATTAAAGATATGATGATAAAAAGAGCCAAAATCTGCTATAATTCAGGTGCATCACTAAAAAATGATTGCAGCATAGCAGCTGTAATATACTCTTTATTATATACTTTTTAATGTAAAAAAGAAAAACAGAAGAAAAAGCCAAAGATGCCAAATAAATTCTCTGGCACCAAACCAACATGCAAAAAGCTAAATTTAAAAAATTTGGCATCAAAAAAGACAATCTGGCAACCCTGGCTGTGCCTTGTCATATCATAATGTATGTATGCCACCTGATGACTCATCTTCTCCAATTTCAAAATATTAAGATTTTTCTTTCCCAAGAAAATTCATGCTCATTATAATCTTCAACACTTTGCTAAAAGCATAAAATCTTTGAATTATAAATTGATCAAAATATGAAAATAAAGTAAGCATTGTTTCAGTTTTCAGTTAAATATTTTGGTAGGAAAATCACTGAAACTGAAATTGCATGTCTTTTTTTAATTTTCAAAATGGTGTCACCAACACAATATCTTGTTTCTCTTTTGAGGTTATAGCTTTCTTACAGCACATCGCAATCTTTTTTTTATTGCTAAGTTTAAAAAATAAATATCAATAAACAGCCTCTTATTTATATATATATATATATATATATATATATATATATATATATATTTAACAATATGATGAAATTTATTTATTAACAATGCAACAAACAACCCTCAAGTCATTTATTGTAGATATTTATAATAAAAACAGATTTGATAAAGTTCACATACAAGTAATTATACTCCAAAAGTTTACAAACATTGGTTGGCTAGTACCAATTTTTGGTTAAAATGTTAACTTACATTATAACATCTCATATAGGGTTGCCCTTTTGGCAGGATCTAAAATATACCACCTGACTTCCTTGCAGAGGGGTATGAATCCCAACAAAAGATACCACCTTCCATGTCGATGAATGCAGGCCCAAGTATATACCTGATCAATGTTTACCTTTTGGTATATACCCAACCAATGCCTCTTTTTTTGACTCTAATGTAAACCAAATTTATGTCTATCTTTTTGACTAGTGTAAACTGAACTTATGTCTACATTTTTGACTCTAGTCTAAACCAGACCTATGCCTACATTTGTTAATCTAGTGTAAACCAAACCTATGTCTATCTTTTTAACTAGTACAAACTGGACCTGCATCTTTTGACTCTAATATAAATGGGATTTATGTGCAACTTTGTGATTCTCTTGTAAACTGAACCTATACCTACCTTTTTGACTCATGTGTAAACTTGACTTACATCTACCTACCTATTTATTAATTCACTGTGAATTTTTTTCCGATAAGATTTCACTTGGACATTAAATAATCAAATAATATTTATATGTGCTTAAATTAACTAAACTAATCTCACTTTATTTTAAATTTGAGCTTGGCTGATCTTGCTTGGTTACTGATAAGCAAAAGTGGCCACTTCTGATCATTTTACAGATTCAAAAAGTGTATTGTTGTAATGGCAATATATATCTTATTAAGATGGCTACTATTCACTGCTTTTTTACTTTTCTACTTTTTCAAATATAAAAATTAATTTAATAAAAGGTGATTTTATGATATTCATTCATTATTATCTTTATGCTCTATTTATTTTTATGGATATTGTTGCAGAATCAAAAGAAGTTAAAGATTCTGTTTTTGACAAGAAATAATTGTTAGCGTTTTAATTTTCTGTGTTTTCAGGCATTGGTATGCTCCCTGTAAAGAGGTAGGTTGCAACATCCTATCCCTCTTTCTATCTTTTTCTTGTTCTTTCCTTTACCCAGTCTTTCTCTCTTTGATACTTTCTCCTTCTTTCTTTTCTCTTCTCTCTATCTTTCTTTCTTTCTTTCGCTTCCTCTCACTCTCACTTGCTTTCTATTTTGACCCTCTCCTCTCTATTTCTAACACCATTCCTTTTTTCCTCTCTCCCTCTCTAACACTTTTGCTTACCTTCTTCGCTCTTCAATCACTGCCTAATACTCTCTCCTACTATTACTACTCTCTCTCCCAAACATCTTCTCTCTATTTCTTCTTATTATTTACTCTTTCTAACACTTGCTCTCCCATTTTCCCCACATCAATCTCTCTCTAACACTTTCAATCTCCTTATTTCCATTCTTTTCTTTTTTTAACTAGTATCACCTCAAGCAAGGCAATAAAGCCACTAAAATGCAAGGGGTTACGGGGTGTGGAGGAATTAGGTACAGAAACATTAATCAGTAGAGAGAGCAAAGAGTAATCAGGAGGACAGTAGATAACGATTGACATTGCATTTAAATTTTTGCAGATTAAATTTGCAGATTAAACATGGGGCCAGAGGGAGTTCTACAAGCAAGAAGTGTGAGAAAAAACTGTTAGCATAGAACTAGCTAGATGCAGCAGCAGCAATGTTCTAAATATGGACGAATGATAGACATAGATATGTGAGACAGATTCTGGAGAGAAAAATTGACTCACACAACACATTGAACCAACCTTCTTAACAGCTGACCTAGCAATAGTTCAACACAGTCTTTGCACCATGTGAGCTGAGAATGTTAGCCTGAGAAAGCACAATGAGTCATTTCCTGTAGGTTAGCATCAGCCATGCTGATAAAAGGCAGAGAGGGGTCTCTCAGATGAATAATGGAGAGAAGTTTAGCTTTGGAGATGTTAAAACGGACAAGCCAATTTTTACCCCAGTTAGTAAAGGTTGTTTTGGACATTGGCCGCCATTTAGACCTTGTCAGACTAATCAGCTTTACTATCAAGGCAGGAGTAAGTGGTTGTGTCATCAGCAAGTTGGGAGCTGATGTCATGGGAAGGTTGTTAATGAAAATTAAAAACAGAAAGGATCTAGATGAGTGGTCATTCAGGATAACTTTCATTTCACAATTTAATAGGAAAGACTGAATCAGTTCAAAAATGTGTCCGGAGACACTGTAACTTTTCAGCTTGTGGAGAAGACCTGTATGCCAAACCCTGTCAAAGGCTTTTGAAATGTCCAAAGCTACAGCCTGGGGTTCACAGTTTTTATCTAGAGCATGATAGACTCTTTCTGCAATTATCGTCAGGACATCAGCAGTTGACCTGGAGAAACGAAAGCCGTATTGCTTATCTGAAAAAAGGCCCTGTGATGAGAGAAGATGAGCATTGATTAGGTCCTCTAGGAGTTTAGAGATAGAAGACTAGTAGGCTGATAGTTGGAAATGTCAGACCGTTTACCAGAGTTCTTAAAAACTGAAACAACAGATGATGACTTCCAGCAGGTAGAAAAGCAGGTTTGGTTTGGTTTGGTTTGTTTTACGGCATATCACCCTCAATGGGTTATTTAATGCCGACAAAATTTTTTATTGCTGGTAATATTTTGTTTTGTCAAAAATCTATTTCTGGTAATATTTTTCCTTCAAAACTGTATCGCTGGTAATAATTTTTTTTTCAAAAATGTATTGCTAGTAATATTTATTTTTAAAAACATTGTTGGTAATATTTTTTTTTCAAAACTGTATTGCTGGTAATAGTTTATTTTTCTTCAAAAATCTATTGCTAGTAATAATTTTTTAAAGTATTTCTGGTATTAAAACCTCTTTTTACACTTTCATAGTGTTTTTACCCCAGTTTCTGGGTTAACTATTTGCCCATAGCTGGGACTCTAACAGGTGCTACCACCCTGGGTCAGCGTGGACCTAGGAACGTCAGCAATTAAGAGGTGGTTCCACACTCTTCAAAACCTCCTGATGAGAGGCCTTGTTGCTGGATGTAGTTTATCATCTTACCCAGGATGGTAGAAAACCAAGAGGCAGTGAAATCTTTATTATACAGTTTAAAGAGAACAGTTCATGAGCACACTTCTTAATGACTATTACAGGGATACCATTGGGTCCACATGCTTTGTAAAGATCAAAGTTTGAACTGATAGTAGAAACCATGGTTGGGGTTATATAGATATCACTTAATGGAGAATCAGTTCTAAGTGGGAAGTTAGGCAGAGGTACTCCAGATGAATCAAGAGTAGAGTTAGAGAATTTACGTATGAAGCATTCAGATTTATCAGCAGAGGATGAAAACACCCCAAATTGATTGAAGAGGGGAGGAATACAGAGCTTGCACTTATTTAATTCCCTATTAAAGAGCTGCCAGTAATCACAAGAGCCAAAGTTGTTAGAGGCTATGCGGTGCCTCATTCTCTTGGCAAACAGAAATTTAGCTCCTTCGAGAACTCGCTTACATTTATTATGAGCAGTAACGAGTAGATACCTGTTGTGACAAGAGCTGTTACACTGGTATAGCTAAAAATGGCAGTTCCTCTCTCATATAGCAGTCGATCATTCTGGTGTGAACCATGGAGAAAATTGAGGTTTCACCTGATATTTCATATTTCCCTCTCTCTGTAACACTTTTCCCTCCATGCTCTCTAACATTTTCTCTCTCTTTCATCCCTTCCCTCTCTCTAACACTTACTATCTCCTTATTTTCCCTCCTCTCTCTCACTAACACATCCTCTTTTCCTATTAACCTCCAGTCTGGTACTTTCTCTTTCTTTCTTCTCTCACTCTCTCTTTCTAAGACTTGCAGTCTCCTCATTCCCCTTCCTCTCTCTCTGTAACACATGCTCCCTTGCTCTTTTACTTCCTCTTTTCCTCTTTCTATCTGAAAACCTTTCTCTCTCCTACTCCTCTTCCTTGTCATCTCTTTCTAATACTCACTTCCCTTTCTCCTCTTTCTCTCCTTCACATGCTCTTTTCTTCTCTCTCTTTCTTTCTCTCTCTCTCTTCATGTAACCCCAAGAGTTAATCCATTTCAACAGCGACCAATAATGTAGCCCTATGCCTCACATTGATTTTCAAGCTCCTTCGGACTAATGTGGTTACAATCTAGCCGACTTATCACTCATTAATGTGTGGCTTGACTTAGCTGGCATTTGTCTGTTCACAAATAAGAATTCTTTGGAATAAGGAATTCACTTGGGTTAAAAAGGTAACAACAATTTGGTGTATATATGATTTGTTGTATACAGTAGTTTTAACCCTTCCCACTACTGTACAATCAAATGACACTGAGATCCTCTTTGGAGTCTGCAGCTTGTGTCAATAGTAACTTAAATCTCAAAGTTCTCCAACTCTCTTCACATCTCATCTTGCATCATTGCTCCATATAGACAGTTCTAATCTAACTCTCTCTTTCTTCCTTCTCCCATTTTCTCAGCATCTAACCTCAGCCCACTCCAAGGACTGACACACCATCCCTGTGACAAATCCAACCTTTCAGAATGCATAAGCGAAAAGGGCTTTTCAGTCATTATCCTTTCTTCATCAATTTGTCTCATGTTGTGATTTCCAAAAGCCAGAGACTTGTTTGGAGCCTATCCAGATGTCTCTTATGCTCTGCTAGCCAGTCTCAAGAATTGTCATGGGTGGAAAAGAAAAGGAAAGAAAATATTCCCAATAGTGATAAAAACAAAATTTATATTTCTTCAGATTATGTGTTTTCTTAGTCAACAAGATCACACAGCCTTTTTCTCCATGGTCACTCCAAAATATTAATGTTTTTATCCCTTGTATTCAAAAGAATTCAAATTAATGTCAGATATAAAATTTTCCTTGATGAATGTCATAGAAATTAACTAACTGTCAGACTAATCTTTATCTTTGTAGGGACATTTTTCTTCTGGTTGGTCAATTCAAATTAGATGGTTTTTCTGGCTTTTTGTCCAGATCTTTAAATGTTATTTCAGTGACCACTAGGGTTTCCTTATTGAAAACATGTTTTTTTTCTATTTGACATCTTTGAGGATACATTAATGGTCTCTTTCTCATTAGCTGGAAGTGGAGAGCCTTAAACAGCTACATTATGGAGAGACATGGCATTTTCTTTTTAATTCTACAATTAACATTTAATAGTTATCTCCCTTTTCTTTTTCATTTTAGTTATAATCTCCAAGCCTTCTTTCCACCTTATGTGTTCTGAAAATTTAAACTGTTTCTTTCTGATACTTAGCAACTGTTTCTTTGTTCATTTGATTCTCCAAAGAACTTCCTCATTTGTCTCATGCTTTGTTCATGGCATACTCAACATTTACTGATCTAAGCTAAATCTCAGTTACATCAAATCTATAGTATACTGTTTAAAAAAGATGAATGCAATGGACTAATAGGGGGCGGGATCTTCCGTTAAAGCTGCTAATTTGAAGCACTTTTTGTGGCCTAAAAATAACCAGTACTGTACAAAATTATTGTAAATAAATGTAAAGACAGTATATATGTATGTATATTTTATTTTTAATTTACTATATACCTTTAAATAAAGTTTGAAATGTTTTAAAGTTAAATCAAGAGTCCATTGGTTCTGGGACCATTAATTCAAGGTTTTACTGTATATTAAAGAATAAACTATCTAAGAAATTATGAAATTTGAAAAATTATCTGTATATGTATTTTCCAGTGAGCCACATGAAAACATTCGGTGGGAAGATGTTCCCAAAGAATCCATATATTCTATGGTAAGATCTTTTTTTGTTGTTGTTTCATATCAACCTCTATGGGTTATTTAATGCTGAAATCTAAATATTTTGTTCTCAACTTTTCTTTATTTTTTGAGATGATAATGGTTTTAATGATACCAGTCTTATTAATTAACCCATAGATGTTGGGGAGGAGACGTGAATTCATACCGTTTCCGAAGAACATTTGCACATAAGTTAATATAACAAACTCAACTGAAATTAAAACTTGGCTTTCTGATTAATAATTCTGAGCCATTTATCCATTACAGCATCTGCACATTGAAGCAGTACCCATCCAGGTACTAACCAGGTTCAGTGTTGCTTAACTTTGGTGATCCTACAGGAATATGATACGGCCATAAACCTGTTTTGTTGTGGGTCAAAAATGCCTCTAATTCATTATAGTTTTTTTTTAATCAATTCATCACAGGCAAAGCAATAGTGTCTGAGAATATTAGAAAAGAGAACATTATTAACAAGGATTAAAATGACAGGAATTAAGAAGACAGACAATAAAAACCAACATTGCATTTAAACTTTTCGATTGTTTTCATTATAATCACTTCTGTGTTAGATTGAAAAATTTTCTTCTTTTTTTTTTTATTAATTCTCAATAAACTAAAGTATAGTAGAAAAAGTGGAGACATGTTGAAAATTAATATCAAAAGAAAAAAAACAAAGCTGATGTAAGTCTTCTTAAGTAATCAGCTTTTCAATCAACCCTTATCAGAGAGGATTTTTGATAAATTTACAAGATTAAATTACCTTTAAAACATCAGTAAAAGTAGTTCTTATCTGTCATTTCATTAAAAACACACACACATACACAAACAGAAAAGAATGAGAAAAACGGTAGGTCAACTTAAGTAATACTAAGTATTATTTTTTTATTGCAATGATATATAAAGATTAATTTAGAATGTTTTTTTTACTCATTTCCCTCCAAGCAAGGCAATAATGACACTAAGATGCAAGTGCTTTCTTGGAGTGAAAGAGAATGAAAAGGCTTTAGTGAAGAGAAAAGACAATAAAAGACAGAAGATAGTGGTTGATGTTGTAATTAAATCATTGAAGATTATAGGTGGCAGTTAAGTAAGAAATTGGAAGTGAGTTCCACAGGTAAGAAGTGTGAGAAAAAAAAATTATTGGAATAGAACTTACAATTACATCCAGCTATTTCAACAGTAAAACAATGAGACCTAGTTGCCTGTGAAGTAGCATGCTGGAATTCATGCAGTCCAGTAACAAAAAGGAAAGCTAATTAGAAAAATTGCTATTAAAATATTTATAGAAAAGACAGAGGGAAGACACATCATGGCAGTGCAAAAATGTAAGATCAGATCCAATAACAGTCTCCTCTGGATTTTGTCAAGAATCTTAAGGTATATAGCCAGAGCACCAGACCAGATATAGCAGCAATATTCAATGCAAAGATGAATGTGCAAGATGGATTCTGTTGAGAAAAATAATCTGGCATGACACAGTGAACCAACGTTTTTTGAATTAAGAGTTTCCTTTTCCAAGACTAGTTGTCACCCAAGGCTATAAGACCTAATCTGTGCTGCTATTCACCCATTGCTGGGAGGAGAAGAAATGGATTCATACCTTTCACAAGGGTATTAGTATGGAAGTGAATGTAAGAAACTCAAATGGAATTTGTACTTGGCTCTCTAATTCCTCAATCCAAGCCACTATCCAATTAATTCATTGTGCCTTCCAAAACAAGTAAAACTACCCCTAACAAAAATAGAAAAGAGTGTTTTTAATGAAATGAGAGATAAGAACTACTGACATTTTAAAGGTAATTTAATCTTTTAAATTTATCAAAAATCCTCTCTGATAAGGGTTGATTGAAAAGCTGATTACTTAAGAAGACTTACATCAGCTTTTTTTTTTTTTTCTTTTGACATTATATATATATATATATATATATATATATATATATATATATAAAGCTGAATGAATAAAATAAACCAAGCAAACATGTATTCAAATATGAACAAAGAAAGAGAGACAAGAATTTAATCTGTTATGAGTAATGATCATAATCTTAACAACATAAGATACAAACATGACACTTTTAACAAGCAAATGGTTGCAAAGGAAAGGATAAACAAGGATTAAAATTTCAAAAGCGTGAGTTGATGAATTTTCTGAATATATACATAATGCTCAACGCCACCATATGTAATTGTGTATAAAGGTAAAATGTGGTTCTTTAGTTGCCATTGGTAAGGGAAGCGATTAGGTGTATGGGTGTTGTTGGTAAGGTCAAGAGTTAATGGATTTGTTGAGTCAGTTTAGCGCAGTCACCGTATGACAACGAAAGTGTCCTGGAGTGGATTAGTGAATCCACATGGTAGCACAAGTGGGGTGTTGTTGGCAGGGTTGATTCATCTATCTTTAAGGTTTAAAACAACAACTGGTAAAGTGTGTGAACGGCTGATGTTCAGTGATGAAGAGGAGGTTTTGAGCAGAATTGCCTGTTGTTGGCGAAATGTGTCATTTTTATTTCTGTGGTTTAACAGGTGCTGGCTCCTAACCAAGCTCATCTTTTTTTTTTTTTTTTTTTTGTGTTGGTGGGAAACAGTAACATTCGTGATTGGCTATTGTATTTCAGATTTTTGCAGGGATTTGTTTTGTTGACCAGATATGATGCTCAGAGCCCCTGTGCAGAAGACAACCTTGGTGGTGGTGGTAGTGGGTATTTTTCTTCCCTGGTGCTCAGATCCAGTTGACATGTCTATTGAAATGCATTTGTTAATCAGAAAGAGATCTTGATTAAAGTAGAATATAACAACACCATGTCCATGGCGGACACAGAAAAAAACATCTAGATAGTAGTATAGGAAAGAGAGAGTAAAGGACTAATTGTAAGAAGACTGGACATATGGTTATCAGCAAGAAGAATAACCCAAGATGCAAGCTACAAATTGGAAATATCAATAATTATACTATATTTGGACAATTGTCCCCCATCTTTGTTGTTTTTAACACATTGTGCTCTCAAGCCTTCCTCAGATGTATATCAGTTAGAGTAACCAACAGGGATTTCTGTACTGAATGCTTTATTTAATCTACAGGAGTAGACAGTTCTCATTCCACTGCCTATGTCTAGGGATATCTCATCTTGTTCTTATTTTTCATACTGCTCATTTGTTGCTTGCCCTGTTTCCACACACTGCCCAGATTAGGGACTGATCTCACAATTACAATGTGACCAAATTCACAACTAGGCCATTGTCCTGGAAATATCAGAATAAAATAGGTACAGAAATTTAAATATCTAGGAAGTGTTTTAAAAGATGGCAGAAAATGTGACACTGAAATCTGTAGATGCATTAAAACAGAGAAAGATGCCTTCCAAAAGATAAACAAATCATTAAGAAACAGGAAAATATCATTAGAAACAAGGAAAAGAATGCCAAACTACTACATAATATAAGGTCTGCTATATGGCAGTCAATACTGGATTTAGGACAAATGAGGCCTTGTGCTAGTAAAGTTATGATGCCTCTTACTTGAGTCCTGAAGGAGGCAGGGTTAGCATGCCTATGCAGGCATGGAAGAAAGATGCCCCCACCCCGCCCCTGTGGCCAACGAAGCCCTGTACATAAACACACCTAAGCACAGTGGTAAATCTGGCACTGCAACCAACCAGTCACCAACTTTCATTCTACAATTACATTCTTTATAATAACTATATTTAACTGTTTTGTATTTTCTAAGTTGAAATTCATGTCCTGAATGCACAAAACATAAATTAACACAATAAATTGCATTGAATTACACACACATGTCTGTGAAAACACACACACACACAGCCTTTACATACATTTACTTTACATACATTTTTATTCACTATGTGTTATATGCCATACCTATGAACACTAATGGGTATATCCTAATCCTTATAAATACATTGGAAACTATTGTAAGTTGAGGTAATATGCTAAGTAGTCCACTACTAGCAGTGGTTTACCTACTTTGTGCCGCTGGCGAGTATTGTATTTTGCTGATGCTATAAAGATTACCATTTCATTTCCAACCTCTGTTTTGGTTATTCCTCATTCAGTAACTCTCTCTGGATTACAATAGATAGATAGTGTTATATACCATACCTATGAACACTAGTGGGTATATCGCAATCCTCATAAATATGTTGGACATTATTGTAAGTGGGGGTAATATGCTGACAAAGTAGTCCACCGCTAGTAGTGGTTTACCTACTTTATACTGCTGGCAAATATTGTATTTCGTTGATGCTATAAAGATTACCATTTCATTTTGGTTATTCCTCACTCAGTAGTAACTCTTTCTAGGTTACAACACTACGTAAAAACAAACTCAAGAAGATGTGTGACTGATAAAGCTGGTCATTATTCTCATGACATTAATAATTGGAGATTCACTGCTGCTAAAACTATTTGAATTTATTTATTTTGAAACATCTATTCCTACTTTCCTTGTTGCATCAAACTAAATTAATGTTTACAGTTTTATAACAATCACTAAGTGTTGCACCTATTTTCCACTTGAACAGAAATTATTACTGAAGAACATCTGAATATACTGGGACAAGACCTGCATCTGGATAAGACCAATACTATGCTGGATTTAGGACAAATGAGGCCCTGTTCTAGTCAAGTTATGAGACTCCTTACTTATATCCTGATAGAGGTAGTCCCATCATGCCTACACAGACATGGAACAAAGATGGGGCCCACCTGGCCAACAGGGCCCTGTGCTTAAGCACACCTAAGCCCAATGGTAAATCTGGCACTGATGATGGTGAATGTTGAACAATTTCCTCACAGATGAGTTTAGGCAACTGTGTTGAGGTTCTAGAAAAGGATGCTGCAAATACCATGGATGTGTGTTAAAACACTTCCCAGATGCTTAAATTTCTGTACTTGATTGATTTTAACATCTCCAATTTATAATTTGCATCCTGGGTGGTTCCTCTGGCTGAAAAGTATACAACCTGCCATCTAGCAATTGACAGTCCTTTCTTCCAGCTTTCTTATACTATCTTCTCTCAGAGAACCTGTTGTTATGCAAATTTAAAAAGAACATTTACTTTCACATATTTCAAACATTTCTTCTAATTGTTTATTCAAATGAGATTTTATGTTCTCCTCTTTTTCTTCTTTATGTTCAGTCAAATGGGTCCAACATGGGCAAGATCGTCAAACTCTTCATTAATATGTCTGGCGCTACTGGCCTTGGATGTCGGTAAGTCACATTGGATTTTCATCTGTATCTTACCAATTACACATTACACTGGCCTACAGACATTTTGATGCAAGTCAACTTATATTTTTTTTTTTAGTCAATTTTGGGGACACTAAGTCCAGAAGTCAAATGCAATATTACTGGTAGGTTCAATAATTTGCTGTACAAAATTTTGAGTATTTTTCCCAAAAAGAACAATTTATAGCCAAATTGCCAATAATGTTCGAATTAATTCTGAATACCTTCTGCCAAAAGACAGAAATGTTAATTAACTTCTGATTTTTTTAAAATTTAAAATTCATCATAATAAGAACCGTGTAATTGTATTGTTCTAAGTTGTGAACATAAACATTGAAAAGTCCTTGGATATAATTTTTTTACATAGCCAGCATCAAACATTTGTGATAGAAACTTGAGTTTGTCAGTGATAGAATTTTGATTTCTTTTTTGTTTGATTCATTTCTTATGGCTTATCAACCATTTTCAGTTTATTTAAAGCCAGAAAATATTTTTAGATTATAAGAATTTTTTTTGGTGGGAAGTGCCGTTCACATTGATTGTTCTGGCATTGGTATTACTACTGATCACCTTCTTTACTGCAAGTACTATTGTCGCTACCTGACCTGTACATAACATCTACTCATACAAATATATTAATTAGTGGTAGCATTAACCAACCACTACTACAGTAATATCAGCCATTTCCTTATAAACAAACATTTGGCAGACATTGACCAAACAGACAGTACTAACATCAGTTGAAATTTATCAAATATTTATCTTAGGTCAACTTTTCAGGAAAATAGATTTCTCAAGTCCAGCATTGATGGAGGTTTCCTTCCTAACCTTTTGTTTGAGATAGTGTGGAACATCAACATCTTCATGGTCATTATTTTCTCTTCAAGTTACATGTACTATTCATTTTAGGTGTTGCTGCTGTTGAAATTCCTCAAGTGAAGAGGTTTCTTTTATTTGGTACAATCCTTTGATTTGTGATTCAATCCACAAGATGTGAATTAGAATGGTCCTTTCAGGGTTAATTCGCTGGAAGCCATTTTTAATCATAGATCTAAGAAGGCAGTTGTATAGAGCTGACAAAAGGAAATAAACTTATTTGATTCTTTTCTTAAAATAAAAAAGAAAAATCTAGCCATTTTATAAAATATCTTAGTTCCAAACAATGCAGAATGATTTTAAAATAAGTGAATTCAAGGGAATAATTCCTACAAGGGCAGGACTAAATAAAATTCAATAAGTGATGACTATACGAATTATCTCCCTTACATAAAAAATCTCGATAAGGGGAATAACTCGTCGCATACTTATTTTAATATGGAAACATGATGTGAAGAATAAATAAATATGCATAAAACACTTCCAGTTTATCTTCTGGTGTTATTAATACATTTTAAAAAACTTATGAAACGACCACTTTTAAATGCAGTTTAACTTAAACATGGTTAACAAATCTCTCTCTCTCTCTCTCTCTCTCTCTCTCTCTCTCTCTCTGAATAGTGCCTTTAAGCGAAATACCTCTTGTACATTTAGATATGAAAATTTTGAGAATGACGTGCGGGTTTTCGCTTAAAGCCACTATTCAGCTTTGCTTGATCTACAAAAGTTCCTTATAGCTGAGTTTGTTAACGATCTTTGGATCTAACATCAGTACCCTCTGTACTGGGGGACACAGGTTCAAATTCAACCAGAGAGTTCATATTTTTTTTTAATAAGATTTCTCAAATATTCAGTCTGGCAGATGAAAATAAGTAAATATACTATTTAATAAATGGAGTGTCTACTCAAATATGAGTAAAGTAATAAAATCTATCAGATTACTAAATAAAAAGTCCATTACATCTTTATAAATTGCTTTGTTTACATTTGGATATGAAATTTTTGAGAATCATTGACAAGAGGAATTTTGCTTAAAGGCACCATTCAGTCTTGCTTCATAGGTATATATATATATATATATATATATATATATATATATATATATGTGTGTGTGTGTGTGTGTGTGTGTGTGTGTGTGTGTGTGTGCAAATATTTAGAAAAATAAGAAAGAACCGTTAGGTTAGTAATTCAAAGGTCTTTAGTATTTTTGTTTTTATTTTTAAATAACAGTGCTCAATACATAAGTAGAGCCATAATTATAATTATTTTTTTAAAAATATGATTTCATCGCTACATAAGAGTTCTCATGTTTCAAAAATAGAATGTATATGCTTATAAAGCTCCGTAAATTTCAAGATCAGTTATTCCAAAATTTGCTTGAGGATGAAATAGAGCTGGTTTTTTAGCTTCTATTTTTGAAACATGAGAACTCCTATGTAGTGATGGAATCATATTTTTAAAAAAATAATTCTATATATATATTGTGTATTTAAGCGGCAAGCCTTCTTTTGTACATGTTTCGTTAAAGACACCTTACAAGGTACTGCAATTGAGCTTTTTATTTAATTAAAAGTTCTGCGTATCTCAGTGCCAACTGTCCAGAAAATAAAACAGTCCTATAACTTGAGACACACATAAAAAAAACCATATATTTAGCTAAAAATAAAAAAAAAATAAAAATCACCCTTGATAATGGCTAAAAGAATAGCCGAAAACACTCAGACATGTAGAACTTTGGGGCAGTTTTTATACATTTTATGTCCAGAAAAGAAACACTTGTACGATCACAAGAATTTTATTTAGTTAACATAGAGGAGCAAAATAGTTTTTGAAAAAAAGTCTCATTTTTGTTTACTCCAAAAACTTCATCCATGTTTAATACCCATTATTAGGATAGTATTAAACACTGTTAGGAGGCACAGTGGAGTTATGGATAGTGGCTCGGATTGAGGAATTGAGGAGCCGAGTTCAAGTCTCAGTTGAACCCTTTACATTCACTTAGGTGTTAATACCCTTGGGAAAGGTATGAATCCTCTTCTTCTCCCCCACCCCAGCTATGGGAAACAGCAGGATAGACCAGGTTGTATAGCCTTGGATGGCAACTGTTCTACCTACTGCGGAAAAAAATCTGTATCGAAAGATACATGATCGCCTAAGTATGTATCACGTATGGCACACAACTGACTGACTGATTAAACACTGATGAGAGTTTCAGGTACAACCAAAAATTTTATGATTTTTATGTCATTGCTTTAAACTGTCTTGGGCAAGCAAACCTGACGGAGCCCATCCATCTCCACTTCAAACCACTGCAAATATCATCCAACTTAAACGTTTGTGTTGGTCATGGAAATGTGGTTGTTGATTTCATTGTGGGAACCCACTACCCTAGTCATTGACTTCAGGGCTTGGAGAATATGGCACTCACAAGGCATACTGAAGACAAGAGGTTCACAGTGAAACAATGAGTAACCAAGCTTGTGTAAATGGGTGGCAAGACAGATGGGAGGTATAGCAAAAAGGCTAAGAGCTGCGAAGGATAGGATGTTGTGGAGAGCTATGATCACCTACCTAATAACTGACTGTATTTATTACATGTCCAAGATCATCAAAATCATTCCTACTCTGTATTACAATAATAATGAAATAAATTCAAGTCTTTATAAATATTCCTGCATTTCATCTACAGAATTGCCAGTGGACCTTCCAATCATCCAGGAATTTTCATCCAATTTGTGAAGAAAGGAGGACTTGCAGAGGAAGCAGGTCTTGAAGTTGGCGATCAAATTATGCATGTGAACGAGACCAGTTTCCTAAATGTTAGTCATTCACAGGTAAGACGAAACACAGGAAAATTTTCTTTATAAAATATTGTCCAAAGTTATTTGCTTTTCTTAATTCTGAATCCAGATCCAGAACCTTCTCATTCTTCTGGGAGGAACCCCTCCTTGATTGACCATGCTTTCAGAAATATAGCCATACTCACCACATTTGGCCAATTTCAGGTCAACAAGAATATTTAACCATTACTTGAAGGTTTTGTATTCAGGATTGTCCTTCTCCAAGACTGGTTACTACACAAGACTATATGATCTACTGTCCTGTTATTTATCCATAGCTGAATGGAAAAAGAGATGGATTAGTACCTTTCTCAAAGCTATTTGCACATAAGGAGATGTAATGAACTCGACACAATCCAAGCTGTTATCCATTACACCCCCATGCCTCCTTTCTTAATTAATGTCCTTAAAATGCATATTCTTCTTCTTCTATGTGATGTGTCCTTTCAGAACGCAGGCGAGATCTTGGCTACTATTTTTTTTTTGGCTATTAGTAGTGTTTGTCTTTTAGCCATCCCTCGCAATCTCTGATCTGTCATCCATTTACACATGCTTGTTAGGTAGATTACTCAATATTTTTCCTCTGTCCCTCTTGATTTTAATGTCCTTTGGGTGTTAAATTCTCCAAGTTTTCTTTCCTCATTATTTCAAGTATCTCTTTCAGTTTCTAAGTAATTAAATTATTATTCTGCATTTTTTCTTTTCTCCCTGTTGAGTATAGATGCACAGCCTCACCAAACTAGGTCCACAGCCTCACTACACTAGATCCACAGCCTCACCACACTAGATCCACAGCCTCACCACACTAGGTTTACAGCCTCACCACACTAGGTCCACAGCCTCACCACACTATGTTTACAGCCTCACCACACTAGGTCTACAGCCTCGTCACACTCGGCTCACAGTATCACCACACTAGGTCTACAACCTTACCACACTAGGTTGACAGCCTCACCACTAGGTCTATGACCTCACCACGCTATGTCAACAGCCTCACCACACTCGTCCCACAGCCTCACCACACGAGGTCTATAGCATCACCACACTTGTCCCACAGCCTCACCACACTAGGTCTACAGACTCACCACACTAGGTCCACAGCCTCACCACACTAGGTTTTCATAGCAATCACATTTTCATAGCAATTACATTTTAATGGTGTGATTTTAATGGTTTTAAGTTCAGACTTGATCCTTCTCTTAGACTGGTTTCCAATCTAAGCTTGGAAGCCCAGTCTACCTTGCTATTTCACCCCTAGTTAGAGGGAGAATAGATGGATTAATTTAATTTCCAATGGTATTTTTTGCAGAAGTAACACAAAAGCCTTGTCTGGGATCCCATTTTCTGCACTGATAACCACTACACTAAGTGCACATCTTTAATATGCCAAGTGATTTGTAATATCTGTAACTTTTTGCTGCACAATTCTTATCTACATTCTCATAGCAATATTTATACTAAAAAAAACTCACATATGAAAAATTTCTAATGATGGAAAACATTTAAGAAATTATCAATTTCATATCTAGCTTATTTTGGCAGCAGATGTCAACTAACATTACTTAAATATAGTGGTCCATTCATAAAAAGTAGGTTAATAATTACTTATCTTAAATGAAGAAGAACCAGATGCAGACTTTTATCAATTTATGTAGATTGTTTTCCTTTAATAACAAATGTATATATCCATTTGTTCTAGATTTAAAAGAAATAAAGAAAAGAAAGTAACACATATTATTGATGGAAATATCCACCCCTGGTCAAAATCTTAAGACCAGATACAAAAGGGTTAAAAAAAAAGTAAAATACTGTTATTTTAATCAAAATATATTTGCGAATGATTAATTTAAACAATCATTGAAAAGGTTGGTAATGAGTGATAATACTTAGGACTTGAACAACACATACAAGATTCACCAGCAGTGTGTAGAAGTAGTCAACTGCTAGAAGTGAGTCAAGTGAATTCCACAATGAATCTCCAACTCTAGGATATCTACCAACTGACCCACGTGGTCAGATGTTGCACAAGGCTAAATTTAATGTGGGGTATCCGAGCCCGTAGGCTCAGCCAAAAATTCCCTGTAGGCACCATATAAAACAGGTTCGGGTAGCTGTTTCCCAAGACGAAACTCTGCCTTTCGACATGGCCTCGTCTGGGGATCCTCTCTGCCCGGAGGCAGAGAGCTTGACCAGCATAGCTGGAGACGAATCTCCAACTCTAGACCACATACATTATTCACTACAGTATTTATAGGAATGGGGGCATACCCATTATCACCCATAGGTATGCTATAATATATATATATATACAACAGTTAGTGCAAATTCTTCATTGAATAACAAAGACTGTAAAAAAGATATTTCTTAGTTGTATATTTCATCTGTTTCACTTTGTTATAAGAAGTTATGTGACAATTAATTTTCAGGAATAAATAATCATTTTATTGCTCATATAACTACCCATGATTCAAATCTTGAACTCTTCCCCAACATAAGCAGATATTCCAGGTAATATTCCTATAAAAAAGATGTGCTGAAAGTATTTAATTTGCCAATTTAGGTTAAGGTATTAAATTAGAAGACGTGCTGTTTCAAAGGATTCACCTGGAGACTATCAAAATGAAAAACAGAAGCCTTTAAATGATTCAGTATATTGTATTGACCTTTAACCTTTTTTGCATGTTTTTTGTAGGCTGTGGTAGCCCTGAAAGGCTCAAAACATTTGGAAGTTACCATTCGTAAAGGAATTGTAAGTATCTCATGTCTTTTGAACAAGAGTAGGAGTTTATCCCTTGTCTCCTTTTAGGATTGGGTTTCTGCTCCCTTCTAAAGTCTACTTCCACACTATACTTCTAACATCTCTATCTGAACTCTGAAATGTTATTCACTAATTAAATCTTGGCCTCTTCAAGTCTAATAGGTTAGCTGTTATTTTTCCTGCATAGACTTAAGAACTTTAATTCTTGTGCTGTCTTGTGCTAATACAACTCCACACAGTAACCATCTACCTTGAGTGGCCTTTGTGCCTTGTATTGGATGAACAATATATATATATATATATATATATATATACACTGCATGCCAAATTAATATCGATAACTTTTTTCTAATATTTCGAAAACTGTGAAATCAATTCACACAAAATTTTCACACAATGTTAGCAACACTGACTTGCGCAATCATTGAAATTTTTGTACTGATCTGCACAGGATAAACAAACTGGCGCCATATTTGTTATCAGCACTGTGATTTGAGCGTGCCAAATTATTATAAAAGTGTAAGAATTTAGTGAAAAGATGGGCCATAAAAGCAGTTTAAGTGATGCTGAAAAGAAAACTATCACCTCAGAACTCTCAAAAGGTAAATCTACCCTAGAAATTTCTAAAATGATAGGGTGGTGTCATCAAACAGTGAAAAAGTTCACCGCTGACCCTACACAAGTACGCAAAAGGGCAGATAAAGGCAAGCTGAGTGTTATTTCACGTCGTCTCATGTCATGACTTAAATGAGAGGCCACGAAGAACCCTGGACTTACCAGTCAAGAGCTTTTCAGTCACATTGAGGATCCTACTGTGTCTAAAAGGTGTTGGTATCTGAGGGAAATAGCAACAACAGTCAAACTTGTATGGAAGCCTCCGTTGACGAGAAATCACATTCAGAATCAACTGAATGGGCTGAGGACAATATGAAGATTGACTTTTCTAAAGTTTTGTTCACAGACAAAACTCGAGCAACACTTGATGGGCCAGATAGATGGTGCAAAGGCTGGGTAATGAATGGACAGAATCGTCATCAGCGTTTGAGACACGAACAAGGTAGTGGAGGCATAAAAATCTAGGTTGGTATTATTGGAAAAACATTAGTGGGCCCATGGAGAGTACCAGATGGTGTCAAAATGACTGCTGATGCATACATAGCATTTATGAAGGGGCATCTTGAACCGTGGATGAAAAAGCAAAAAGTTGCCTTCAGAAGGGCCATTGTTTTTATGCAAGATAATGCTCCCTCACATGCTGCTCTGAATATTTGAAACAGTTAGGCTTTGATGGACCTCGAAAAATGAAGTGGCCAGCAAATTCTCCGGATTTGAACCCAGCCGAAATCCTTTGGAGCATCATGAAGTGAAGACTGTACGCCAACGGACGACAATTCAGGAGCAACGCTGAGTTGTGGGAAGCAATTCTTGACATATCTCACGGCATTACAGCAGATGACATCCTACAATTAACAAATTCTATGGATCATCGACTTCTTCAAGTAATTTCAAAACAGGGAAAGCACATTCCCTATTAATTTGTTTAAAACTGTGCCTTTGTTTGTATCTGTTATTATTTGTATGATTATCTTATTTATTAGCTTCTTTTGATCATAAACATTCACGTGCAACATTAATAAATGTTTTGTTTGCTCAATTGTGGGAATTTTACGAAACCTTTCTAATAATTTGGCACGCTCAAATCACAGTGCTGATAACAAATATGGAGCTAGTTTGTTTAAATTGCGCAGATCAGTACGAAAATTTCAGTGATTGCGCAGGTCAGTGTTGCCAATGTCGTGTGAAAATTTTATGTAAATTGATTGAACAGTTTTTGAAATATTAGAAAAAAGTTATCTCGATAATAATTTGGCACGCAGTGTATATATATATATATATATATATATATATATATATATATGAGTGGTTATAGTTGTTCCAATGAGAAAAATGTGTATTTTAAAGAGTAGAGAGAATCCGCAAACGTTTTTGGTTTTAATTTGGATTTTTAAAATATATTATACTTTATTTTCCATATTTTTACTACACGGGTTTCAGGTCTTATGACCTTCATCAGGGGAAGAGTGATTATTCCCACATATTATTTAAAGAAATTATTTTTTTCTTATGCTTTCCAATGTTTAGCCATTGTCTTTTGTGTGTAGTAGTAATCCAAATTTTCTTGAATTTGTAGAGAAAATATTCTTTTGCTTAAAGGGCAATAAAACAATTAGGATTGGTCAGAGAAAGGGGGAAGGAAGGAGGTCTTTGTTCTTATCTTTTTATGACCTCTGTATCTTTTTAGATCTATCTCCATTTTTGTGTATTGTGTGTGTGTTTTTGCTAGCATGTGTATATATATTCCTTCTCCATACATATATATTGTTTTATTATCAGGAATTAGTATATATATATATATATATATATATATATATATATACAAATATATACACACACTTCATATGGTGTGTAGGGTTCATGTGTGTGCGTGTGTGGTCCAGCTAGTGTTTTTGCCAGTATGTGTGTATATATTCGTTCTCCATAGATATTTGTGTGTGTGTGTGTGTGTGTGTGTGTGTGTGTGTGTGTGTGTGTGTGTGTGTGTGTGTGTGTGTGTGTGTGTGGTCTGACTAGTGTGTTTGGGCCATTATGCAGAATCTATGGTCATTGTAAAAAAATGTTTTTGAGAGAAAATTACACATGGTTCATATTTTATTACATCTACAGGATTTTCTCCCACCTCTTCAATTAGGTTGCAAGCATTTTATGACAAAGCATTTCATTTGAATATTTAATAAAAGTGGTGGTTGTTTTTAGGATTATATGTCATGTTATGTCATGTCTTTTGTAAAATTTGTAAAAATTGTGATTTTGATGAAAAATTGTTAATTTTGTAAAATTGATTTACGTCATGTCTTTTGTGATTGGTTCTTTTTTTGAATTTCATTTTTGTTATGTCATGACTTTCATGACTGGTTCTTTTTTAAAATTGAAGTTTATGTATTGTCTTTTGTGATCCATTCTTTTTTGGATTTCATAATTTGTTATGCCATGTTTCTTGTGATTGGGTTCTTTTCAAATTTGATATGTCATCTCTTTTGTGATTTGGTGTTTTTCAAATTGGTTATGTCATGCCTTTTGTGATTTGGTGTTTTAATTCACTTTATCATGTTAGACAATTGTTCTTGCCAGAATCCATCTTTATAAGTTTATTCCTTCATTGAACATTACTACCACATCTGGTCTGGTGTTCTTGCAATATATTTCGAGATACTTGACAAATCCATAGAAGAATCTGCAATGTCATCAGTTCTACAATAGAAAATATTATGGGATAGAGGGAGAAATATTTAGTTATAAGTGTTATTAATAATAAGAAGAAAATAGGTAAACATATCAAATATTATGAGACAGAAATTCTGAATTTATTTCTTTATTTATTACTTCATTTTTTTATATGAATATGGATTTATTTCTTTATTTAAAGACATATTAGTAAACCAATGTTGCTTGATAAGAGTTTTGTAATAAATAAAATATGAGTTTTAAAAACAGTCTAAATGGGGAGACTGATATTGCTTTTATAATTAAAAAATAATCCCACTTATGGAACTTACAAGTTACTTGCTTTTTTCCAAAAAAATAGTTAACAAAATATTCCCTGGGTTTTATATATGTAGGTATGTAGGTCCCCACCTCTATTTTGTATCCTCAAATACACAATATAATATTTATATTATACAATAATTAAAATTTTTTAGAAAGTTCACACTCCCAGAATAATTTTCTTTTTTTTATCATTTTATCCCAAGAAAAGTGATAATGCCACTAAGATGCAAGAGGGATGCTGAGAGAGAAAGGGAATGAAGAGACTTTAGTGAGGAGAAAGTACAATAAAAGATCAGAATTCAGGAAGACAGAAGATGGTGATAATGCCACTAAGACACAAGGGAATACTGGGAGTGAAAGTGAATGAGAAGACTTTAGCAAGGAGAAAGGGCAATAAAAGAACAGTTTTTAGGAAGACAGAAGATGCCGACTGATGTTGAGTTATATTTTTGAAGAACCAAAACAACAAGGAAACAGTTTTTCACAGATGAGAAATACAAAAAAAGAAATTATTTGAACAAAACAAATTGGCTAAATCTAGCTAGCTTAACAGGAAAATAATGAGACCAAATTGCCAATCTAGTAGTAAAGCTCACACAGTCAAGGCACTAAGGAGGAAAATGGTATGAAAATATTTATAGAAAAGACAGCAATGTCACAGCAGTGGAAATGTGACTGAAGTTGAGATGACAGGTCAGAATCAGTTACATTGAACACCCTTCTTTGGATTTTGTCAAGAATATCAAGATCTAGTACCAGACCAGATATGGCAGTAATATTCAATGCATGGGTGAAGGGTAGATTTATAATTGTGTAAGATGGCTTCTGACAAGGAAGATTGTCTGACACAGTGAACCAAGTTTCCCCACAGTAAACCTAGATATTGATTTAGTATACTCCATCCACTTCATATCAGTGGGAAACGTCAGCCCAAGAAGGTGTACAATGTTGCTCTCCTGAAGGTTAGCATCAGTCATACTGATGAGAAGACAGAAAAGATTTCTATGGTGATTAAATGAAAGCAGTTTTCTTCTGGAGGTGTCAAAATTTATAAGTGATTCCTTGCCCCAGTTAACCACTGCTAGGAAATCATTTTGGAGAGCAGCTATCAGTTTTACTTTGTTGAACATGTCGGATTTACAACTAAAACAAGGTTAAATAGTTGTGTCATCAGCAGAAATATCTAGTTGGGAACTGATGATATTTTGGAAAGTTGATTGTTATACCATACCTATGGACGATAATGGATATACTCCAATTCCACTAAATACAGTGGTATATACTGTATGTTATCTTTCACTTGGGATTCACTGTGGGATTCACTTTGATTTATTTCTAGCTCACCACTAGCAGTTGATTACTTACTACATACCACTGGTGAATCTTGTATGTTGTTTCTATTATAAATATTATCGCTCCATTGCTAACCTTTGGTTTGGTTATACTTATTCAGTAATCTTTTCTTAGGTTACAGCATTGATGAAAATAAAACAAAATAAAACATTGATGAAACAAAGTATGTGCAAGGACAGAAACACAAGGGAGCCTAGCATTAATGTAAAAAGATCTAGAAGTGACCTTCATTACACCATTTGTTAAGAACGATTGAGTTAAGCCAAATATTCATCCAAAGACACTGTAGGACTCAAGTTTGTGGAGAAGGCCAGCATGCCAAACCCTGTCAACTGCCTTCGAGATATCTAAAGCCACAGCTTGAGTTTTGCTATTCCAAATAGACAAATTCCATAATAACCATTCACACATTGGAGAAACAAAAGCCGTATTTTATTACTTAAGTGTTAATTTTTTTTTTTTTTGAGTGGATACTCATATTAGAATAGACAGTCTGCTTCTTTATTAAACAGTATATTTATTTATTTTCATCTGCTTGCCTGAATATTCGAGAAATCTTATTAGAGAAAAATATACACTCTCCAACAGGATTCAAATTCATTAGATCTGATGTGCTTTAGAATCAATGGTCCCTTTTTTTAAAAGACATATTGTTTATTCGAAAGAGAGTTGTGTGAAATGAGATGCTTAATTAATTCAACATTGATTAGAGCCGTTTACATTTTTACTGATTTTTTACTTTTTTCTGATGTCTCATGGAGGAATTTAATTTAATGTTGCACCACAAACATTTTGAGTCATTTTTTTTTTTGTTGTTGCAGGGTATATCTTTGACTGATTCAGCTGCCAATGACTCTGTTTCTACAAATGCCCCAACTGCACATACAGAATCAACTACATCAACAAGCAGGTAAGAAACAAAAAAAAAAATGAAAATATGAAACTATTCAAGTTTTCTAAAGGTGTTTATCCATATCAACAATATGGAAGAATATGTAGTAAGAGTTTCATATTATGAGGATATGTAGGATAGATAACAATTGACTTGATGGTAAGATTGTAGTGGTTAGGCAAGCATCGTCTCAGGAGTCTGAATGAGGTTGTTGTATGAACGTAAGAGGAGGAGTTATGAAGGGCACATTATGAAGATATGTAGAATAGATAAGGGTTGATCCTAGATTTGAAAATGTTAAGATTGTAGTGATCAGAGAAGCATTGTCTCAGGAGTCTGAATGAGGTTGTATGAACATAAGAGGAGGTAAAAAGGCAGATTATGAGGATATGTAGGATAGATATGGGTTGATCCTAGATTTGAAGAAGTTAAGATTGTAGCAATCAGGAAAGCATCCTCTCAGGAGTCTGAATGAGGTTGTAATAATGGTTGACACTAGATTTGAAGTGATTTTAATGATCAGGGAAGCATCCTCGTGTGAGAACGTTCTAAATTGCAACAGCTCTGGAGGAGAAGCTGTCTGAGTGGAACTCCCTCCTTACTAATGGAATACAAAGGGAAAGATGATGAGTTGTCTCAGTGTATGTTGCATGGTAGGTGTAAAGGTCTGAACTGGTGGAACCACAGAATGTAATTGAATAGTAAGAGGCTAGCAATGTTTGACCTGGGAAAAAGGAATTGAAATGTGGAAAAGACATTACAATTGGTTGAGATGAGAAAAGGGAGGACATAGCAGCACTACTCCCAGATGTGACAGCAATATACCATTTCTGGTCTGATCTAGTTTTAGTAAAGATAAAATAACTTTTTTTTACCATCTTTTAATACTATGTATTAATATTGTGTTTGATCATTGTATATGATTAATTGAAAATTAATAATATTAATTGATAATTACAGAGGCACAGTGGAGTAATGGATAGCGGATTGGATTCAGGAATCGGAGAGCTGAATTCAAATTTCAGTCAAATCCATTACATCCACTTACGTGCTAATACCTTTAGGAAAGGTATGAATCCTCTTCTTTTCTCCACCCTCCCCAGCTATGGGTAAATAGCAGAATTGACCAGGTTCAATAGCCTTGAATGGCAACTGGTTTACCACAGAAAGAAATGGCAACCTACTGCAGGAAAAAAAATCTGCCTCATCAGTCATGTATCAAAAGAGACATGATCGCCTATGGGGCACCCTGTGAGGATCAAACTCACTATTCAGTTGTAACTGTTTTAGTGAGACAAGCTTACTAAACATTACACCACGCTGAGGTGCCCAAATTGATATATTCTGGAGTAATTTGTTATGAATAAGATAAACGATTTCTTTTTTTGTCCATTCTAACATTCAATAAGGAATTCATATTTATTAACATTTGCATACTATTTTCTTTTTTTACAGCTACACAAATCCAGTTACTCCAAAAGGTCTGTACAAATTGTAACCTTTCAACTTCTTTTTTTTTTATAATTTCACCCCAAGCAAGGCAATAAAGCCACTAAGATGCAAGGGATTACAAAGTGTTAGAGAATATGAGAAAAATATTATTAAGGTGAGAGGACAATAAAAAAAAAACAAGAATTAAAAAGGAAGAAAATAAAATTTGACATTGCATTTAAATTTTTGATGATCAAAGTTGACTGGGAAGCAAGAAGCCAGAAAAGAGTTCCACAAGTGAGAAGTGTAATTTCAATTGTAAAATGAATTTTTTTTTATGGTGAAAATAACCCTGTACAAGGCCCAAGGCACAGCTTATATGTAGAAGATATATATAATGGGTAACCCTCGACTTGAACAGCAACCTCTTGGGAATTGGTTCCATAGAACTGCAGCTTGTGAGAAGAAGCTGGTTGAGTGGAACTTACCTCTCACCAAATGAATATAAAATGGAATGAGGTTGTTCACTACAATGTGTATGGCATAGTGAGTCTTAGACATGAAGGTTAAAGCTGGTGGAACTAAGGAGTGTAGTTTATCTGAACACTCTCCAGGGAAATGGCGATAGAACAGTGAGAGGTTTGCGATATCATGTCTGTGAGAAAGGGGTTGCATAATGGAAAATAATTTTTCACTAGCAATGACATGGAGATGCCTATTGAGAGGGAAAAGTGAAGATTGGGCAGCTCCTGTCCAGATATGTACTCCATTTTACCTGATCAGACTCTTGTAATGGTAGAGAATAGCAGGAGGACTGAGGTACTTGATGGAACAGTACAGGGAACTGACCATTATTCCAGTATCTTTAGCAATGGATCATATGTACAAATTCCACATGAGATCAGGGTTGAATTTAAGTCCCAATGGGTGTTCAAGGCAGAAGCATCCCTGAAGAAAGACCTATTCTTTGCAATCAGTGAAAGTTTTAGGTCCAAAAGGCAATTCTTTCAACAAATTAAAAAGCAGTAGAAGCTGTTGGAACTGGTTCCAAAAAAAAACATTTCTTACAACTTTTGTCCAGATTTTTCAGATGAAGAATTATTATTACTAGAAATACTTGTGAAAATTTCATGGTTTTCCTATTTGAATTTTCTGATGAATCTTAATTCTTAAGTTAATAAGTGAATAAACTTATGACAAATTCTACAACAATAAAATTGAATAAGCTCTTGGCAAGTTCTATGACAATAAAATTTCAGTAAAACTTCCTCTATCACACCATTAAATATTTGAGCTTAACGACTTTAACAAAATATTGCAAAAACAATCATAACACCTTTCAAGCTTCTTGCTTTCCAGTCAAGTTTGAGCATCAAAAATTTAGATGCAATGCCAATCATTATCCTGTCTTCTTAATACCTGTGATTTTATTGTTCTCTTTCTTTAATAATGTTTTCTTTTTCTCATATTCTTTCATGCACTTTGCATCTTAGTGGCTTTATTGTCTTGCTTGTTGTGAAATGATTAAAAACATTATTTTTTTTTATTTAATAAGACAGAAAACTTTGCTTTATTACTAAAAGAGGATAATTTTTCAACCAAATGTAAAAATAAGATCTTTATTGCATTTTAGATGGCAATTTTTGATTGAACTTCCTCAAATGAAGGTAAAAGCTAAGAATTTAATATTTGCTGTAAGTTTTTATCTCATTAAACTCCATGATAGTGGTCAGGGAAACATTCTCTCAGGAGTCTATCTCACAAGGTGGGGATAGGCTCTTGGAAAAAAATCTATCTGAATGGAATTTCTCTATTACCAATGTAACACAAAGGGGATAAAAATGGTTCACCTCTGTGTACATTAAGCCAGGTTGATTTTGGAGGCCTGGTATTGCACTCACTTTGAAAGTTAGAGTATGACATGATAAATAATGACTCAAAATATTTTTTTCTAAGTCCTTACTGTTTTTTGAAGAAATGTGTATTAAGTTTAGGTTCAAAATCATAGAGTTGCAATTTCATTCCATTTCATTCCAGTGATCAGTAAAAGCCTTATAGCACAGCCTTATAAAATTCATAATTTACTGAAGCTTTACAAATTGTATATGGACAAGAAGCAAGGCACAAGCATATTATTTATAAATCATCAAATACAACCTTCATTTGCTTCAAATAGAAATTATATTGCACAATTTAGCTATATTATGATGTAATATGTTATACAGTGGAATAGTTTTAGTGTGATTTTCAATAAACAATGCAAATTTTAAACATTTTGTCTTATAATTTGTGTCTAGCAGTAGTATGGCATTATATGCACTTATCTATTTTTTGTTTTGATTAATTATGACCTAACAAATGTTGTAAGATCTTATTTATTGAGTAGCCATTTTTGTAATCTTTTACTATTTTTACACACTTTACTTATCAAATATAGTAAAAAATTGCATACTTTTCATAATCAGAATTCTGTTTTTAATATACTTTCCCTTCAATGTATCTAATATAAAAAATATCAACTTTATTTGGATTTATTCTTGAAAATATAAAATTCTGAAGTTAGTTTGTAAGTAAAAAACCTGCAGGAATTATGTATTTCTGTAGATTTTCTTAGGCAATCTTTAAAAATGAATGCTCAAAAATTGATAAAAGCTATGAATCTAACTTGTGGTGTCAATACTTATCATATTAAACTCCCGCTTTCACACTGAGTATATAATGTTGATTTTCTAAAGAAATTGAAAAATCACCCTACCCTAGTTTACATGGCATTGTGAGTCTTAGCTGTAAATGTCTGAATGGGTGGAACTAAAAAAAAAGTAGCTCATCTGAACATTTTCTATGAGAATAATGATATAATACCAAGAGACTTGCAACATTGCATGTGTGGAGGAGTGGTTGAAGGGGGAATAATTCATCACCTATAAAGCTGTGCAAACACTTTTAATTTCTGTCAAGACTGGAAAGAGTAAATTGGTCAGCTCCAACCCAGATATGGTACCACTACTCCATTTTTGATTTAATCTGACTCTTGTAAAGATAAAGCATGGTTGATGGAGTCAGGTGCTTCCTGAAGCAGTATAAGGAGATGATCAATTTCCACTGTCTTTAATGATAGAATGAAAATGAATTCCACTTACAGCCTAGGATGAATCTGAGTTCCAAAGAGTGAAGCCTCTTTGAGGGTGCAAGTATTCATCATGACTGGTGATAATTTAGGGTCAGCATAGTGATGATGAAACTCAATTGGTTGCTTGATGTATTGAAAGTTACAAGCCAGTTTTTCCCACATCAGGCTGTTTGGGATAGGTCAAAAAAGTAAATTATGTATTCAAGTCTAAAGTTATTAAAATCCATGTAAAATATCTGACAAAGTTCTCTCATTTTTTATTTTTTTTTAATTCTAGAGGAAGATATTGTCTTCAGTCAACTTGAAAGGAGAACTGAACGTAGAATGGCTCCAAGGCCTCCAACTGACCAACCAACTAATGTGAATGGACATTTTGAAGGTAAGACATTATAATATTCTGATTATTTTTTTTACATCCTAAATACTGTATATATCTACCTTAGAATTCAACTTTTTGTATATGGAAAAAATATCTGTTATTGGGTCATAAAAATGACCCTATAACAGATGACCCAATAACAGAGAGATCCTCAGAACTTGACTACCTTATTTTGCAAGTTTAATTTACTCAATTGATAAATGCAAACAGAACTTTAGTCACTGATTTATGCATCATATCAAACAATAACAGGATGAATTCGAATGTTCAGGCAACAGAGATGTAGTTCTACAGAAGGATGCCATGGATTGAATATGGCAGTAACGAGAACGTTTTTAAAAAATCAAAACAGAAAGGAGGACACTTATATATACAAGCAAGAGTTTAAAATTCTACAACATATAATGAAAAAAAAGGGCTTGGAGAATTTGATACTCACAGGACATATTGAAGGAACAGAGAGAAACAGTAAGCAACATACCTAGCAATCTTTGTTGACAGAAAAGGAAGTGGAAGGGATATTAAAAGGATATTACTTAGAGCTACAAAGGATAAAAAAGTTGTGGAGAGCCATGAATGACCATGTCCTGGAGGGACACAGCACATAGATGATGATGATGACTGGAAAGTTTACAGATTGTATATTCTGTGCTGCTCAAGAGAAATGCACTCTTAGCAAACATTCATTGATGTTTGGATTATTGAGTTAGCATTCCAATCTACTCATTTGATTATTATATGAGGTTTTGTAACTAAAATGTTGATGATTATGATGATCAATGTCATCATCATCATGAAAAGGAAGAAAGGGAAGAAGAAAGGAGAAAAAGAAGAAGAAAAAGAAGAAAGAAAACAAAAAAGAAGAAAAACAAGAAAAGGAAGAAAAAGAGGAAGTAAAAGAAGAAAGAATACAAAGAAAAGCAAGAAGAAAAAGAATGAAAAAGAATAAGAAGAAAAAAGAATAAAATGAAGAATGAAAAAGAAGAAGAAAAAGAAAATGAAGAAACAGAAGAAAAAGAAGAGAAAAAGAAGGAAAACAAAGAAAAGGAAGAATCAGAATAAGTAAAAGGAAAAGGAAAATGAAAATGAATAAGAAGAAGGCAAAGAAAGGAGAAGAATTAAGAAAAAGAAGAAAATGAAATGAATATAGAAAAAGAAGAATGAAAAAGACTAAGAAAAAAAAGAAAATGAAAGAGAAGAAAAAAGAAAAAAAGAAGAAAGAAGTAAAAGAAGAAAAAGAAGATGAAAAAGAAGATAAAGAAAAATAAGAATGAAAAAGAAGAAGAAGAAAAAGAAGAAAGTAGCATATATAAGTCCTGGGTGTTGTGATAAAAATGTAATAATAATAATAATAATAATAAAACCAATAATAATAAAATAAGAATCATTTGATTCAGAAGTTTACAAGTTTTATTTTTTATTTCTTTTTACCTACAGAAACAACACCAGAAGCAAGTTCCTATGAAGAAGATGCATCCAGACAGGAATTGGTAAATAGAAATAAGTATTTCTTTATCATTTTTCCATATCTTCTTGTGGTGCTTTAGATTATAAAAGCCTCCCAGGAAATTATCGCTTAAACATGTATCACGCATGGCACATAACTGACTGACTGATAACCAATCACCCAGACATTATGAGAAGGTATTATTACCATTGTGATTTTATATTATCATCTGATATAATATCACATGATGATATAATTATTGCAGAGAATACCACATACCAAGATATTATAAGATGATATTTTTTGCATCATGATTTTATATTATCATCTGATATAATATTATGATATTATTGTTGCAGGGAGTACCACATACCAAGATATTATTATCATGATCTTGTCTTATAAGGTATAACATGAAGATGTTATATTATCCTCAGGATATATCATAACAACATATTGCTATAATCATGATTTGATATTAACACCAGGTATTAATTTCACCCTGACCTTATATCCTCACAAGAAAGAGGAGTAGCTAGGGTCACCTATTGTTTGGTTCTCATGCCTCCTTGAACAGGAGTAGAGTTTTTACCCCATTTCCTGTTTAGGATTGGGTTTCTAAAATCTTCTCTATCTCTTGCTTTTCCTTTGGCCCCTTGCATCTTGGGGGCATTATGACCTTGCCATCCCCTTGCTCTGGAAGCATCTACCTCAGAGTGGTTCTTGGGCCTTGTAAAGGATGAAAATCATTGGAAAAAAAAAAAAGAAAAAGATATTATTATTTGATATCATCAAATATGATATCAAATATATCATTAAATATGATATCAAATATGATATCAAACATCAAATTTGATATAAGATATATATCAAAATTTAGATGATATTATTTTGATATCATCTCTGACTGTTGGCTGTTTCATCTGTTTGATGACTGCCATATCTCAGTTCCTACTCACAGCTTAGAAATAACACTTTCTTTAGTCCATGAGATGTTACAAGAATTACTGCCATTTGCCCACTCCCAATGATATCAGGTCTTTCCAAGGCATCTTCCAAGACAGAAACATTCTTGAACATAGCCCTGAGTGCACCAGCCATGAAAGGGACAATCTGAGCTATTGCTTAGTACAGTTCGCAAATTTTACTCTACCAAGTCTTGGTACTCTTAGAGTAAATGGCAGAAATGTACAAAACAGTGTTTATTATTATTATTGTTATTATTTGTGTATGTTATGTTTCCTGCTTTGTATCCCATAGAGCAGTGTCCAAATTATGGTCCTTAGGCTCTATAGGAGAATTATCATTCAATTGATAGCACTTTTCTTAGTATATGGGATGTTCCTAGTAGGGCGATCTTCTGGGAAACTTGTATGTTGATGTTACCTGAGACATTGTTAGTAAAATTGTCTATTCCTTTTTCTCATGAGGCCCTGAGCTCTGATTACTATTTGTATAGTCTCGATCTTCATTCCCCACATCCTGTTAATCTCGACCTACTGGTCCTTGTATTAGGACAATTTCTCGATAATTTTTATGGAGGTGTTTCTCTCAGATGGTACAGTTATGTCAATAAGCATAGACTTCCTGAATTTCTTGTCTTTTATGATAATATCAGGTCTGTTGGCTTTTATTTCCCTGTCAGTTTGAATTGGCATGTCCCAGAGGATAGTTACATCATTATTTTGGGTAACTGTGTCTGGTTGGTGCTCATACCATCTCTCAATGGTTTTGATTTTTTGTTTCTTGCATATCTTCCAGTGCACATATGTCATCACCTTGTTATGTCTGTTAGTATATTCAGTTTTTGCTAGTTCCTTGTTATTATTATCATTGTTGTTATTATTATTATTATTAGTAGTAGTAGTAGTAGTAGGACCAATAAAAATTACATGGTTTACTCATAAATTTTTAATTCTGCACTTTGTACTCTGCGACCCATAACCATTCACAGAATGTTATAAGCAAAGTGGCATAGTCTCTCTTAAAAATATATAAAAAAAAATAAAGGTTGTTAGGTCACAAAACATAATTTAATCCCTCACTGCAAACAACTGCCTTTATTCAAGATGATAACCCTTCCAAATCCTTCTATAGAAGAATAGGGCAAGGGTGTGCTGCGGCTGTGGGAAACACTTAATAGGTAATAGAATGTTCTCTTGACAAGGGAAACCTGGCAGAGGAGGGAGATAAATGGGAGGAAATAAAACAAACTCTCTAAGGACGAATGAGGCTACTGCCTCAAAAACCAAAGCATGGACAGTGGTACATAACTTCTGGAACAAATGTGCCAGGGGAACATCTTTAAAAGACACCAAATCTCCAACAATGGCAAACTGAGTCTTGCTAAAAGCAAACTGCAGACTACCAACTGCTTGTTTTCCCACCACTTTTATTGTCATGAGACACTTGACAAAAATCCAGATCTAGACAAGTAAGTTACAAAGAGGCCCATATCTGGATATGCCAAGCTGTTCTGCTGTTAATGGAGAAACCAGATGTGCTTGTCTTTGAGAGACATGTCCAAATGTAACGAGAGGCCTCTTTTGCATCTTTACTGATATGTGTTTGCTACACCCTCTCTGTATTGCCCTCCCTTTTTTGTCCCATTAAGTCCCTCTCTCTCTTTCTTTCTGTTTCGTTCTCAGTCACTCAACACAGTCTGGGTTCCCTTAGCCTGCAACAAATTCACAAAGCTAAGATTTTTAAAAAAAGATTTTAATTTCTGTAGTTTATTTGCAGTTCAGATACAAAATTGTCAACAGATTGTAATGTCATGAAACATGATTTAACACCTAACTACAAAAAACTGCCTCCAATCCCACTCTGCGTCACACATTTTTTTGTTTCTCTATGTCTCTCTCTCTCTGTTTCTGTTTTACACTCTATGCCTCTCTCTCTTTTTGCTTCCCCCTCAGATGCTCAACACAGTCTGGGTTTAATATGGTTTTTGAGTAGAATATCATCTATTTTTATTATATTACAAAATGTTTATAATTATTAAAGAAAGATTTTAATTTCAAAAGGTCAGTTGCAGTTCAGGAGTGAATTTGCCCACAAGAGATCATTAGGTCACAAAACATGATTGAACCCCTCACTACAAACAACTGCCTTTATCTAAGATGATCCACTCCACTCTCACTTTCTGTGTCATGCTCTTTTTTCTCCCTCCCTCTCTGTTTTACACTCTATCTACACCTCTCTTTCTATTTCCCTCTTGAATGCTCAACACAGTCTGGGTTTAATATGATTTTTGATTAGAAGAAAATCATAAATTTTTATTATATTACAAAATGCTTATAACTTCAAAAAAAGATTTTAATTTCAAAAGGTCACTTGCAGTTGAGGGGCAAATTAGTCCTAAATGGATCCAGTTGAGGTTGTTTCTAAGTATATATATATATACAATAATGACATCCTAAATTTCCAGAAACTGATTCTATAATGGTAGGTAATCTTTAGGAACTGGTTCTGCTTGTTTTCTTTTCAATCTGAGAATGGCAACAAATCATTTTATAGTATCAAAAAAGAATTAAAACATTTTGATAATTTAAAAGAAAACATTTATTCATTAAGATATTTCCAGATTGAAATTCTGTTCTCATCATATTTCTAACATAAATTAGTTTTTCTATCTATATGCAAGCAGTTTACTCCCTGTATATAATCAGGATTATTCTAATATCTTATCCAAACAATTAAAGTTTCCCTAGCAATTCAAATAGATCTCTATGCTATACATTATGATGCTATTAACATCACATGCTATTATTTGATATTTGATTGATACAGAATTCTCTAAGTTACTTTATAAGAATCAAGTTGTATTTGTGGATTATTCCTTCAAGATTGTCTCAGTTTTAGTCACTGCATATTTTATTGTGTGCAGAATTTTGAAGGACAAAGTGTTGAAGGACAAAATGAAAAATAAATAAAATGTTGAACAAAGGGTCAAATGAACAAATTGCCAAACAGAAAAAGAGTTGAACTGACTAAATGACGAATGCCAGAATTGTGTCTACAATACAATACCTTTTTCTTAGTATGCAAGTATCCTGTTAGTAAATAATTGTTTTTAAATTTTAAACTGATATGAAAACCTTCAATGAAAAAAATAATACTAATGATTCAGTCAGTTATGTGCCATGCATGATACATGCTTAGGTGATCATATATCTTTCAATACATGACTGACAAGGCAGATTTTTTTCCCGCAGTAGGTTGCCATTTCTTTCTGCAGTAGACCAGTTGCCATCCAAGTTTATAGAATCTAGTCTGTCCTGCTATTTACCCATAGCTTGGGCAAGAAGAAGAGGATTCATACCTTTCCCAAGGGTATTAGTGAATGTAATGGATTTGACTGAAATTTGAGCTCGGCTCTTTGATTCCTCAATCTGAGCTGCTATCCATTATTCTACCATGCCTCCTCTCATGGAGGCTTAATCACTTTTAAGGCTGTTATTTATTAAATTATGCCGAAGCTAAGCAATAACAAGTTTAGAATAGCTTAATTGATTTTTTGAACCAGGTTTTTAAAATAATGATGATATGCTTGTTTTTGCTTTGTTCAACATTTTGTCCTTTTGAAATTTTGTTTTTTCGACATTATGTCTATTTTTTTTAAGAAAATCACCCCAAGCAAGTCAGGTGTGCCACTAGCATGCAAGGGGTTACAGAGAGTGATAGTAAGAGTCAAGAGGAGTGTTTCGAAAAAGAGAAGGACAGGGATCAAGGTCAAGGCAGCAGAAGATGTTGATTGACATTACATTTGAATATTTGAAGATTAGAGCTATCTGGGAAACAAGTGATAGGAAGGGATTCCACTGATGGGGGGCTGTGAGATAGGAAGCTGTTGGAGTAGAAGAGATGGCTATATTTAGTCATTTCGACAGTGAAAGGATGGGACTGAGATGCCAACCTAGTAGCACGCTTAAATTCAAGCAGTTTGGGAACCAGTAAAAGTATCTTGTTGGAGCAGTTGCCATGAAAATACTTGTAGAAAAGACAGAGGGATGCCACAGCACGTCTGTGAGAAAGTGACTGCAGATGAGATGCCAGATCAGGACCAATCATGTTGCATATCCATCTCTGGATTTTATCAAGGACCTCAAGATGATCAGCAGGAACACTAGACCATATATGGCAGCAGTATTCCATGCAAGGACAAATGATTGATTTGTATATTTGAAGGATGGACTCAGGTGAGAAAAACCTTCTGGCATGACACAGAGAACCAACTTTCCTTGCAGTAGGTGAAGCTATAGATTCAATGTAGTTGTTCCACCATGTCAGTGGACAGCATGAGACCAAGCAGACACAGAGAGGCAATCTCATGGAGTTGGGCATCAGCCATCTTGATGAGAGGCAGGGAAGATTCTCTGTGGTGGATAAATGAGGGCAGTTTCATTCTAGAGGCATTAAAGTTTACAAGCCATTTCCTGCCCCAGTCAACCACAGATTGGAGGTCATTTTCAAGGCCTACAGCCAAGTTAATTTTGTCAACAATGCCGGATTTACTATTGAGGCAGGAGTAAATAGTAGTGTCATCAGCATAGATGCCAACTTGGGAGTTGATGACATCAGGAAGATTGTTGATGAAGATCAGAAACAGTGTAGGACCCAGGATAGAGCCTTGGGGAACAGTCAGTTTGACTCTTTGTCCATTCAACACTTTGTCCATTTGACACTTTATCCATTCAATACTTAGTCCATTCGACATTTTGTCTGTTTGACATTTTGTCCTTTTGTCATTTTGGCTTTTGACACTTAGTCCTTTGACACTCTGACCTACTACCACATTTTATTCATTACTAAATTAATTCATTAAAGGAGTTTAATATCATATCATAATTTTGCTTGTGTCGTCATTCTTTAGTTAGCATATATGTTACACCCTGCCTTTACCTGAGAGAAACAATGGCCCATCTCTGCTTGATTGCAAGGATAGATGGAAGAAAAGATATATCAAAGGTACAGTTTGGTTTTAGTGAATGGAAGGAGAAAGAAAGAAGGACTGAGAGAAAGAAAGGGAATATAGAAGAGGCAATAATGCTCTTATGTGTTTAACATCTGCTTACGTGAAATAGAAAACTTGTCAATTTTAAATCTTTTCATTTGTACCCTCTTACTTCTTAAAATAATAACCTACATTCATATTTATGATTGCTGTTGTAATATTTTGTTCAAGTTATTAAGCTCAAATATTTAACAATGCAATAGAGCAATTTCCAGAGTATTTTATAGTAGTGGAACTTACCCGGAGCTTATCAGTCATTAACTTGAGAATTAAAATTCATCAGAAAATTAAAATAGGAAAATATTTAAATTTTCACGGGTATCGCTAGCCCTTTTTAATGTTTTATTACTTATTTCTGGTAGAGTTTGTCAATATGTAATGCAACCAGAAATAATTATTTAAATTATTTTTTATATTACTATTGCTTAAAGCATGGAGGAGTAATGGATAACAGCTCAGATTGAGAAATCCATTATGTAATGGATTCCTCACTTACCTTTGGAAAAGTTATGAATCCTCTTCTTCTCCAAGCTATGGGTAAATAGCCAGACAGACTGGGTTCTATAGCCTTGGATGGCAACTGGTCTACTGCAGAAAGAAATGGCAACCTACTGCAAGAAAAAAAATCTGACACATTAGTCATGTATCGAAGGATACATGATTGCCTAAATGTTATCACACATGGCACATAACTGACTGATTGACTGAACAATCCTGATAATGAATATCAAAAAGAAAAAAAAATAATATTTTATAAAAGTTAATTTTATCAGCTTGGAATGGGAAATCAGCGTGCTGAGTTCGAATTCCAATCAGGTTCATTATATTCACTTACAGGCAAATACTCTTGGGAAAGGCATGAATCCATCTCTTCTCCCACCAGCTATGGGTTGCATAACAGAACAGACTGAGTCCTATAGCCTTAGTCAGCTACAAGTCTACCATAGGAAGAAACAACAACCTACTGTGAGAAAAGGTTAAGAAGTTGTTGATGAGCAATGATTGCCCAAATGTATATCATGCATATGACTTAACTGATGGAGTCCAGATTGTTATACAGCTCTTTGATTTCTCATTCCCAACTGCTATCCTATTATACCATGCATACATAGGTACTAATGAAAATGTCTAGCTAGTTGTATAAAATCGGACATAAAGTGAGGGTCAAGTTTAACATTATACTTATATTCTAAATTGAACCCCCATTAGAAAAAAATTAAGTATATAAATTTCACAAAGAAATGTTATATTTATGTAAATCTAATTTTCTTGAAGATTTACACCCCACATTTTTTTTATTTCTTTTTTAAAATTAAATACTTCTTGATTCAACTTTAAACCTTTGATCCTAACCCTGATCCTGTGCTCTGCTGTAGGAGAATACAATGCTTATAATCCAACGAAAAGCGCAGCAGCAAGAACTGTATGAGCGAATGCAAAAAGAGGAGGAAAAGGCCGCAGTGGAAAAAGAACGGCAAAAAGAAGTGAAGGGCTTTCAGCAGGACAAAGCAGAGGTCATGCGAGAAACTATCCTGGTATGGTTATCTTTGCACCCTGTGAAAAACTATCCTTTGCACCCACGACAATAGCGTCACTTCTTTTTTGCACCTCTTTGCTTTTATAAAGTCAGTGTTTTTTTTTACAGTGATGATCACCCTGTACAAAGGCCTGAGAGCCAGTGGAGTTAGAGAGTTACAGAGGCACAGTTTATGGGAATATATGGGAAGATAACAGCTAACCCTAGATATGAACAGGTTAAGATTGTAGTGATTGGGGAAGTATCCTTTTGGGAGTCAGTTCCACAAAGCAGCAATTTGTGGGAAGAAGCCGCTTGAGTGAAACTTGCATTTCACCAATTTAATACAAAAGGAATGAGCATGGTTCATTACAATGTGCATAGCATGGTAGGTCTTTGCCATGAACTGGTGGAATTAAGGAATGTAGTTTGTTTGAGCACTTTCCATGGAAACAATGACAGAGCAATTAGAGGCTTTTTTGCTTTTTTTTTTTTGTGGTGATTCACAGTTTATAGGAATATGTGTGGAAGATAATGGTTAACACTCGACTTGAACAGGTTAAGACTGTAGGGATCAGGGAATCAACTCTTTGGGAGTTGGTTCCACAAGGCAGTGATTTGTAGGAAGAAGCTGTTCAAGTGTTTTGTGACCCATATCGGGTCGTTAATGATAAAGTACAACTCAAGACTTCAGTGTTAAATAAAACAGTATTTAATTACAACTTCAAATAAACAAAAGAAGAGTCAATCACCTTATTAACAAATTCAGTGAATACCTTTGTAGTAGCATGTCTCACTTAATGCCCAAGTGTCACTCAATAATCAATCAACAATCAACTGGTAATCAACTAGTAATCCACTCGTAAGCAACTCAAATCAATCAATAATCAACTTGTAATCAACACAGTAATCAACCAATAAACAGCTCATAGTCCACTAGCATAAGTAGCCTGACACCGTTATTTATACACCTAGTGTAAAACATATTCATAAGTCCAGTGTCATGCTCGAAACTACACGGACATTTATCCAGTGAACCAGTGAAACTTAAGTCAAACACCTTAACCACTCAGCCATCAATAGATAATTTTTATGAACTGTATATATATATATATATATATATATATATATATATATATATAGCAGCAGCATGGCCCGGCATTGCCCGTGTTTGATTCAAAATCGTATGACTCATACAGCAATCGCTATCACTTAAATGAAAAATATTTTTGTCCTTCCTTGCCTTTAAAGGAGTGCCCTTTGCTGTGCTGATGTTGCTACATGCCTTACTTCTTGCCTATCTCACATGGCAAATTTTTTCTAAGCTCTATACTAAACATTAAATCTGTTACGAAAAAAGAACTAAACAAAATGAACACAAAACGACCAGCTTTAAAAAAGGACTCATAACTGGAAAAACCAAATGAAAAAAGAATGTTAACAACAAATACTTTTTCATACCCAACCCAGTTCTGTGGAATCAGAATCAACATTGAGTTTAAGCAAGCAAATGAGCCAATTGGAGTAAAGTGCCATGCAGATTTAAAATTTTCCCACTTGTGACGAATGCAGCTATCGATTTTTTTTGCATGCTAGGTAATATTCGTGTCAGTCAGCTGTTGGCTCTTATGCTGGCCAATAGAATCTTCCTGCCTATTCGTGGCAGACAGCTATAGGCTCTCACTCTGGCCAACACAAAATGGCTGCAAACTACATGAAAATTGCCGTAGAAGCATGAAAAAATTGACTATTTCCACTATCGATGGGAGTTGGGAAATGCAAAGTCAGTCTTGGCCTTCCTGCTAACTTGGAGCATATGCACGTAAATTTTGGTGCATTCATTACACACACACACATCCTGCCTTTTATAGATAGAGGTTACACAGATTATAACAGTACAGATGTGAAACATCTGTGGTTCTGTTAATTAGCTAAATGAAATCAACCCGTAAGGAAGTCTGTTCTTCTCTATAGCTTTGAGAAAAATCATCAACATATACAACATTGTATGGCTAATCAAATCTCTTCATTGTGTAGATATAAAACCTTTCTCCATAACTTTGAAAAAGAGACATTAACATACCCATCATTGTTTGGACATTCAAATCTCTCCTTTGTACAGAGATAAACTCTTTGTCTATATCTTTGAGAAAAGGCATTAAGATATCTAATAACCCTCCCAATGTCATCAGTTCCTGACTTGACATCTCTATTGATGTCATAACTGTTTTATTCCAGTCTTAATACTGTGTCCAATAGCTTTGTCAGCTGATCTCGAAAATGACCTTCAATCTGTTGTTAACTGAATCAAGAAATGCCTTAGTAATTTTTACACCTCCAAAATGCCTCCATTTTAACAACTTTTTTAATACTAGCATGTTAAAGAAACTTTTTGCCTTCCATCAGCATTAGCTGATGCTAGTCACCAGATCACTATGCCTTCTTGGTCATGCGTTTTTCACTAGTGTTGGGATGTCTATGAATCTATATCAGTTTAGGTTTTGTATTTGAGATGTAAACACCAGTAAATTAGTGAATTAATTTTTATCTGATTTTATTTTTATTATGCTAAATATTATTTTAGTGGGTACACATGTTTGAGTTGCTGTCCCTGTTTTTATATTTTCTTAAACAATGAAATTAATAACAACTGGCCTAGATTGAGAATTTGTACTAAAGAAAGATTGTGCCTCCTGTCTGGAATCAAACCTGTATTCCTTCATGGATACTGCTTCTATATCTGAAATATGCCATTATCAGTTTGGTCACAGGAGGCCATGTGGATAGAGAAAAGTTTAAATTAGCTATTTAAGGAATGCATATATGTCTTTGGGACTTCTGGAAATCTTCAGTTTCAGACCTGAAATAAATATTCCTCAGTAACATACATGTATGACATTATTTTATCTAAAATCATTTCTTATTGGTATAAATATTATTTTAGAGGGTACAGATATTTGAGTTGCTATCCTGTTTTTAGCTTCTTAAACAGTGAAATTAATAAAAATCAGCCAAGATTAACAAGTCTTACTAAAGAAAGGTTATATTCAATATATTATTTAATATATATATATATATATATATATATATATATATATATATATATATATATATATATATATGTATGTATGTATTTAACATATTAATATCTATTTAATATATATATACACCTGTCTGAAGTCATTAAACAAATCAAAAAACTTCAATAATTCAAATTTGGTTTTAAAAAAATTAAACAATCAATTTAGATGTCAAAACAAGGCCTGAGTGAAAATTTTAGATAGTATCAATATGTTTATTGAAGTTATTTGATGTATTCTGCTGTCTGAGGTTATTAGGCAAAACAAAATAATCACATTTTACTTCAATAAAAAAATAATAAAATCATCAAAAATTGATCAACACCTATAACAGAGCAAATAGCAAATATATGCAATAAGTCTTTGGATCCTGTACATTTTTATATAGTGACCGTTCTTCTTCTCAATAACAGCCAATAATCTATTATCCATCTTCAGCAAGTTCAATTTCTGACATGGTAGTTTTAATTATGTCTGTTTTGCTGTTATATTGTTTGCCACCTTTATATAATTTCATCTTCACAATTGTCCATAGATTTTTGATCAGATTCAGATCAGGACTTTATGGTGGTTATTCCATTATCTTCTCTCCTGTAAATCTTTTATGCTCAAATAATTCATGAGTAGGCTTAGATACATGAGAAGGTGTGTTGTCATTCACAAATACACACTTCATTTTGAAACTGCAAGACTGGGACTTGTACCATGCAAAGATATTCTTGTTCATAAAATCACAGCTTGTTTAACTCCTCTCTAAATATTTCTGGCAATTAAAGAATACTAGTAGTTCCCCTTTTATTAACTGGGATATTATAGCAAGAGTCAAATCTTATAATGGAAAAGCAAATAAATGTAACTTATGTCTTGTTGAAAAATTGGTAATCTTAAAACACTTAAATAACCAGAGCTTATTTAACAAGAAAAATGAATTGATGATTACATGTAGGCATAAAAATTAATATCTGCATAAACATGTTGATCCAGATTAATTTTTAACATAAATTATGGCATATTTTTAATGTAAATTACTGTTTATTTTTTATATAATTTTTTTTTTTTAAATAAGAACAAGTAATCTCCCTTTAATCTAAAAATGATTAATCACAACTCAAAAATAAAAGTTTTTAAATTTTTTACATATACAGATTCTGTTTATTTTAGTTGCCAAATATAATTTTGAAAATTAAAATACTGTAATCCCATTATAATATATAACTGCACCAACATTGTAAGAACCAAATATATTTTTAAAATTTCAAATTATATATTGGTCAGTCCATATTCAGCACCTGAAGATTGTGTTGTACATGAAACTTTGAGTCATGCTAGCGGTGAGGGATTATATGTATATTTATCAATATATACTTAATAGCTCTGTTATATTACATCAAATACTGTTTTATTAACACCAACATTATATGAGTGATATATATATATATATATATATATATATATATATATATATATATATATATATATAAATAGTAAAAAAGAAACAGTAAGATATATAATCCAGTGTTCTTATTGATATTTTTATTTTTTCCAAACAGTGCTCAATGTAAATTTACAGTGCATAAATATCATAAATTAACTGATTTAAGAATATGGTTTGAAATATTTCTGGCACTTGAAAGAAACCAATAAAACACCCACAGTAAAATGGAAATTAATAAGAAAAGCTAGAATATGTAGGTCATTAAATGACCCATGTCCTTTGTGCATATATGAGAAACTATATATTACTAAGTTTGTAAAAAATAAAAATTTACTGAATCAAAGAAATGAAATAGCTATTCTTTGCTGACATTGTCAAAAATTGTCAAAAGTTTTCCTTAAATAATATTTAAAAATAAAATAATAAAAAAAAAATGGGAGCATGGTAATATACATACTTATATTTGATATGTAATAATATTTTTTAAATAAATTAAGTAATTCTATTACCTTTATTTGTTTTAAAAAGAAATATAGCCTATTACTAATTAAGAGTAAAAATAATATTTTAAAATTGTAGTTCAATATAACATATTCTAACCCAAACACCTCTTTTAGGAAGAATCTTTGTGTATACAAGTACAAATTTAATGGAAATAAATGCCGAAAACCTTTTTGTCATTGATAAAAAACCAGATGACATGTGTTGAACAGATGTCATAATTTGTTGAAAAATACACCCCTACCTTACCTAGACTTAACCTCTTTTTTGAACGTCACTCATAATTATAATAGCTAATAAAAATAAACATGCTACCACCCCTGTATAAATGATTGGATTTCTCTGTATCCTTAGAAATAAAAAATTATGAATTGTATGTACATTTAAACTCAGTAAATTTAAAAATAAGTTATTCCAAAATTCACTTGGAGATGAAACAGAACTTATGCTTTTAATTTAATTATATAATTAAATCTGAAGATTTTAGCTTCAGTTTTTGAAACATGATAATTCCTGGGTAGCGAAGGAACCATATTTTTAAATCAGTTAATTTATAATACATATACAGACATACACACACACACACACACACACACACACACATATATATATATATATATATATATATATATATATATATATATATATATATATATATGTGGGTGTAACAGCAAAATTGTCCAAATTGTGTAACAGCATGAGATAATTAGTGTTTCCACAAAATGTTTAATATCTAAAACCCACTAAACTAACTGAGTTTCTTTCTTCCAGGTTTTCAGATAAGACATTTAGCCAGATCTTGAGACCATTTGTTATAAAAATCACTGAAAAACCCTTTGGGTTATTCAGCTAAAAAGAGAACAGTTTATAATCATTTTGTGTCATCCCTAATATGTCTTCCCAACTGAGCAATAGTGAGAGAAAAAAGATCATTCATGCCTTCAGTAATGGCATGAACCTTTCATACTCTGGCTTCCATCTTCAAATTCCATTCAAGAATCATCAAGAGACTGGTAAATAAGTATAAAAAAGAAGGAACAGTAGAAAGGAAACCTGGACCAGGGTGTCAAAACCACAAGAGTGATCATCATTTTAACTTAGAGTGAAATACATCTTATTGTTCAAAGTATTGTTCAATAGTGTTCTAAAACCTTGGGAAATTCCAGTAAGATATCTTTAATCATTTCTAAGATACAACAGTTCAAATCTTAATCTAACAATTGGACAATTTTGCTGTTATATATATATATATATATATATATATATATATATATATATATATATATATATATATATATATATATATACCATCATCCACAGACAGACTGTTTTGCTGCATCACAGCTCATCAGTGTGGTTAGGCATTCAATCGTTTCAGGCCGGGACCGAAACCTGACAGATTTGGTATCAGTCAGAGATTCTAACTCCTAAGACATGACTGATGTGGCAGATTTTTTCCTGCAGTAGGTTGCCATTTCTTTCTGCTGTAGACCAGTTGCCATCTAAGGCTACAGAACTGTTGGGGCGCACCCACCTTCTCATCAGAATGGACTGATCTCTCTACTACTAATAGGACAGTTCTATAGAGTTCTGGGAAGATCAGGTGACCATCACACTTCCGTCTCTCTACCGGAAGATACAGTTGGACTTTATACTCTTTCTGATTGTTACTGACTAACCTGCGTTCATTTGACTACTAATCTCTCTGTTGTAAATACCTCTTCAGATATACCAGTATTTTTCCCTACGTATGTGTTTGTCCTTATTTCAATACACGCACGCGGAAACACTCAACAAGAACCCAGTCTCTGTCTTGATATTTACCCATAGCTGGTGGGGAGAAGAAGAGGATTCATACCTATCCCAAGGCTATTAGCACGTAAGGGAGTGTAATTGATTCAACTGGAATTCAAACTCGGCTCTCCAATTCTTCAATCTGAGCTGCTATCCATTACTCCACCATGCTACTGCTGGAACAAATCAGGTAGTTATGGGCGAGTGATTTACTCCAGTTCTCAGTCATCTACTCCCAATCAGTCATGTTATGCTAATGACATTTTGCCAAGATATCTGGTGATGAGCACAGCACAGGAATATTAATGCAGTATGAGTAGAAATTGTTTCAAGTGAAAGTTTTCAACTCACCCTTTTGAGAAGTTCATTTCTTTCTAACCATTACACCATATACACCACTAAGTAAGAAATGCAAAAAAAAAAAATCAAATCTTTAACCTGATTTTGCTGCTTAACTATAATTTTTAAATGTCAGACTGTCCACTGAAATCTTTTTGAATCAGTTTTACATGATATTAGCTTATTAACGCCTACCTTTTCTTTTTGTGTTTTATACAGAAAACATCAAGCAGTATTGAAGATAGCCAAAATGAAAACTTTGTTCTCAAGAAACAACCCGCACCACTGGCACCTCATGTCCCCAATCGACAGAAGAACAAGTACTGAATATTAATTAAAGGATTTAATTATAATCATTATCTAATTGTAATTTTTATATTAGAAATTATCAAGTTTTAATTAATAATTTTATATAACTTTTATAAAATTATTTTATTTTATTTACTTATTTCATTTCTTTACTTTTGTTATTATTTATTTTATTGTTTTATTATTTTCTATTTTATTTTAATTTAATTTTTTATTTATTTTATTATTAATTATTTTATTATTTTTTATTTATTATTTTTATTATTTTTTATTATATTTATTTATTTATTTTATAAAATTATATTATAAATTTATTTTACATAATTTTTATTTAATAATTTTTGTACAATTTTAATCAATAATTATTAATTTTTATTATAAATTATTAATTTTTAAATTATAAATTATTATTTAATTATAATTTATTATATTTTAATATTAATTAAAGGTTTCTAAAAAACAATATTAATTGCAGATTTGTAAAACAATCTATTATTGATTATAGGCTTCAAAAAATTCTGTATTATAATTTTCTAAAAACATCCAATATGGACTGAACATGTATGCAATGACGATGTTTTAGAAGAAGTGGGAACAAAAAGGAAACATATTTAACTTCAGGAGGAGATAGTTGAAATTTCTAGGGCACAATGGGGAAGGAGGGCTTGGAAAATCAGATACTCATAGGATGGATTGAAGGCAAGAGGGACAAAGGAAAACAATGCATAACATACTTAATGAGCTTGTGTAAAGGGATGGAGGAACAGGGTTTGGGAGAAAATAACAAAAAGACAAAATTTATTAAGAGCTACAAAGGATAGGAAATTGTGGAGAGCCATGATTTCTTTTCTTTTCTACCATAATACCATAAACTGAACATGTGAACAACAACAAAGATTTAGAGGCATGAAGAAAGATAACAAAAGGACAAAATTTATTAAGAGCTACAAAGGATAGGAAATTGTGGAGAGCCATGATTTCTTTTCTTTTCTACCATAAACTGAACATGTGAGCAACAACAAAGTTTTAGAGGCATGAAAGAAAGATAACAAAAAGACAAAATTTATTAAGAGCTACAAAGGATAGGAAATTGTGGAGATCCACGATCGCCTACTTCCTGAAAGAAGAAGAAAAATATCAAGCATTGATTACAGGTTTCTACAAATGCTGGTATTAAGTTTTAAAAAAACTTCCAACATTGTGCAGTAGTCTGGTATCCAGGTATTTTTATATTAAAAATCTGAACCCCTGAATTCCAAATAATAATAAAATAAAGAAAACATGGTTATTCCTCTTAAATAAATCATTTGTATTTGCAAACATATGTATATAAATTCAAAAAAGCCAAAAAGGAGTAAAAATAGCCTTTAGTTGAGTCTAGGTTGTTGTATAGTTAGTTCACAGAAAAAGACGACGTTTAGAAAAGACTTTGATCATCAGTGAAAATTCCCTGACAGTCGATGTTGTTATTGTTGATGATTCGTTTGAAGTCACCAATATATGTTTCTTTGAACATGTGTTGAGTAGGAGGAAAAAGCTATGTAGCCATGTTTTCTTTTGTGTTTGAATGACTTTGAGACAATCGCATCTCCTCTGCTGTGAGTGTTTTCTTATAAGAAAATTTTTCCCGAACATAGACTCAAGAAAAATAGACTTTTATTTTTTTTGGATTGGTCAAATATTTCACATGGTGATGTTAATTTCTGGCCAAGAGACATTTTGATTTAAACAGTGTGTGCTGTATTTTGGAATCTTTTTGGCATATTTGTAAATATTGTCTGTTATTGAGTAGAAAATAAAGCTTGAGCATGTTTTAATATGGTATCTAGATGGGTATGTAATTTGATTGGAAATAGAGTTTATTTCCTATAGAGTTACCTTCTCTTGACCAGATGCTAACATATTGTGGGAGATGTGACTAAATATACTTTAATGTTTAAAAAAAAATTATTTATTATTATTGTTTAGGTAATAAGCATTATAACTTAGCGCAAATAGCTATATTGTTGAAAAAGGAATTTTCAACAATATACGCATTTTTCATGTATTTATGATTATTTTTTAACTTTTATCAAAAACGACATTCTTGTAAATGTAGTTATAGATAACATTATACATTAATTACTAATTTTTTTAATTAATAACTATTTGTGCTCAGTTGTTGACATTAATATCTATCTGCTGAGGTGTTTAAATTTTGGAATAATGCAATAATAAAAATTTAAATTTCATCTCTGGTAAATATGATCTGTAAATATGAGCAATACTTTCAATGCCTTTATTATCATTGTAAGAATTCACTGTTATTCAAAGTAATTTTTCTAATATATTAGTATGAAAGACTTTTATCAATGGGCATGTTTTATCTAGTTTCATTTCATTCTAATGTATTTCACATGGATTTTTAATCAGTTTTAGTCTTAATTTATCAATAGAAAATACTAGCAGCATTCATTTAACAAGAAAATAGGATCTACATCTTCCAGTTGTATCTTGAATATTTAATAAATATATCTACCTGTTCATGTCCTGAAATGATTATAGAAAGACTAGCAGCATGGCCCGGCATTGCCTGTGCTTGATTCGAAAATCATATGACTCGTACAGCAATCGCTATCACTTGACTTAAAATGTTTTTTTCCCCTTCCTTGCCTTTAAAGGAGTGCCCTTTGCCGTGCTGATGTTGCTACATGCTAAATTCTTGCCTATCTCACACTGCGAATTTTTTCTAAGCTCTATACTAAACATTAAATCTGTTACGAAAAAGGAACTAAACAAAATGAACACAAAACGATCAGATTTAAAAGTACTCGTAACTGGAAAAACTGAATGAAAAAAGAATGTTAAGAACAAATACTTTTTCACACCCAACCCAGTTCTGCGGAATCAGAATCAACGTTGAGTTTAAGCAAGCGAATGAGCCAATTGGAGTAAAGTGCCATGCAGATTTAAATTTTTCCCACTTGTGACGAATGCAGTTATTGATTTTTTTTTTTGCATGCTAGCATGCTAGGTAACATTCGTGTCAGTCAGCTGTTGGCTCTCATGCTGGCCAATAGAATCTTCCTGCCTATTCGTGGCAGACAGCTATAGGCTCTCACTCTGGCCAGTACAAAATGGCTGCAAACTACATGAAAATTGCCGTAGAAGCATGAAAGAATTGATTATTTCCACTATCGATGGGAGTTGGGAAATGCAAAGTCAGTCTTGGCCTTCCTGCTAACTTGGAGCATGTGCACGTAAATTTTGGTGCAAATCCATCGAAAATTGTGGCCGTGCATTCGTTGCACACACACACACACACATCCTGCCTTTTATAGATAGAGATGTTACTGCATTCTCTCCCATTGCACTATATTTAAAGCAATAAATTGAGGTGGAGGGTGCAAAACTGTGGGAAAGGACATATTAAACGTTCTTATATAAATGGTTATTCATTAGAATCTTTCTTTTGTGGAAGTGTGTATACTATGATCTCTATTCTTTTTTTTATTGAATTTTGTTCATAAATATCACTCAAACCTTTTATAATCATTTCATCCAAGCAAGGCAATAAAGCCACTAAGACACAAGAGGTTACTGAGTGTAAAAGAATATAAGAAAAAGAAAATACTATTAAGGAAAAAGGACAATAAAATAACAGGAATTAAGAAGACAGAAGATATCAATTGACAATGTATCAAAATCTTTGAAGATCAAACTTGATTGGAAGGCAAGAGGCCAGAAGCAAAAATTTCATGAAAAGAAACTTATGGTTCTAGGCATTTCAACATTAAAATGATGAAACCTATCTGCCAATCTAGTACTGCACTTAAATTCGTAAAAATAAAGTACCAAAGAGGAAAGCATATCAAAACAATTACCATAAAAATATTTATAGAAAAGATACAAGGAAGCTATGTTATGTTTATGGGAATTTTCTCATTATGCCTATGGAGGAAATTGGGCTGATTAGACTCTGCAGATGTGGCATTTCACGTCCTAGATGTAAAGGTCTGAACTAGTGGAATTAAAGTATGGAACTCATCTACCATAAAAATAGGCTTGCAATGTTATATCTGTAGGAAATAGGGTGTAGAGTGGCAAATACGTCTTCCCTTATAAGACTGTATAAATGATTTTGAACTCTATCAAGGCTTGAGGGAGAGAGATTTTAAACACATTTTTTATTTTTTTTAAATTATTTCACCTCAAGCAAGGCAATAAAGCCACTAAGACTCAAGGGGATTAGTGAGTGTAAAAGATTCTGAGAAAAAATCATTATTAAGGATAGAGGCCAACAAAAGAAGTGGAATCAAGGAGACAGAAGATAATGATTAACATTGTATTTAAATTTTTGAAAATCAAAGTTGATAGGAAAGCAAGACGCTGGAAGAGAGCTCCACAAGCGAGAAGTGTGAGAAAAGAGAACATTACCATAGAGCTTACGGCTGGATCTAGCTATTTCAACTGTAAAATGATGAAACTTAGCTGACATTATAGGTTTAAAAATATTTGGTGTCAGTTATAGGTTTCTAAAAAAATCTGATATTAATTATAGATTTCTAAAAAAAATAATGACTAGCGTTAGGAGTATAAAGCTGAAGTAGATTTTAGAAGGAACTGGAAACCCAATCCCAAACAGGAAACAAGGGATAAACTTCAACTCTTATTCAGAAAACTGGAAAGGAGTGTGAACCAAGCGATAGGCAAACCTATCTACTCCTATTGGGGGAGGAGATAAAAAAAAAAGTAAAAATAAAATAATGTTTCAGGCTGAGGAAGAGCTAAGGAGCATTGATTCAACTTGAAACAAAGAAATGTTGAGGTAGAAAAGAGGGGGGGGGAATATCATTACATTTCTTGCGTTGATTTTTAGTCTGGCTGGAGAGCTCGGATCTTGATGGGAAAAGAAAAATCATTTGGTAAACTTAATACAAATATTTAGTTATTAATTGCTGAAAAGTCAAAATAAACATTTAGAACTTAATCGTAGTTTATATTTAAAAAACTGAAGACTTTCATTTTTTTGTATTAGGAGTGAGAGGTATTAGGATTAAAGGATATTAGGAGTAAGGAGTAATAGGATTAAGGGATATTACGAGTGACAGGTATTAGGAGTGAGAGGTATTAGGATTAAGCGGTATTAGGAGTAAGCGCTATTAGGAATAAGAGATATTAGGAGTAAAGGGTATTGGATTAAGGGATATTAGGAGTAAGAGGTATTAGAATTAAGGGGTATTAGGAGTAAGGGGTGTTAGGAGTAAGGGGTATTACGAATAAGAGATATTAGGAGTAAAGAGTATTGGATTAAGAGATATTAGGAGTAAGAAGTATTAGGAGAAAGAGATATTAGGAGTAAGGAGTATTAAGATTAAGGGATATTAGGAGTGAGAGGTATTAGGATTAAGCGGTATTAGGAGTAAGTGGTATTAGGAATAAGAGATATTAGGAGTAAGAAGTATTGGATTAAGGGATATTAGGAGTAAGGAGTATTAGGATTTGAGGGTATTAGGAGTAAGAAGTATTAGGAGTAAGAAGTATTAGGACTAAGAGATATTAGGAGTAAGGAGTATTAGGATTAGAGGGTATTAGGAGTAAGAAGTATTAGGAGTAAGAGATATTAGGAGTAAGTGGTATTATGATTAAGGGGTATTAGGAGTAAATGGTATTAGGATTAAGAGATAGGAGTATTTTAAGCTAAACCATTTATTTAATCTACAGGTGTTCATTGTTCCTGTTCCTCTGTCCATGTTGAGAGATATCTTGTCTCATTCTTATTTAGTGCAGCTCAGTAATGGTTAGCGCTATTCTCACTGAGGCCAAGACCGTACTACACGAACCATGAAACAAATGCCTAAAGCAGTGTTTCATAAATTTGGTGATAAAGTAATTGGGAATTTAATTCCAAATTATCCTAAATTTTCTTATACGTTTACCATTCCACAGGATTCAACTTTATTCATACATACAAACACACACACATATATTGTCTAAAATTTGCTAAAATTATAAAGGAGGAATGCTCAGCTGTGTGGACATTGGAATCAACACTGAATAGTGACTGTCATTGAAGCATGAAACTGATTTGGTGCAAAGATTCTATTGAAGTATGACACTGCAGTCTTGATTCCTATGTTTACACACACACACACATACACACACATATATATATTAATTAATGAATATCAAACACTTAAAATCCCATAGGTAATAATTTTTATTTCATGAAATCTATGAAAAATAGCTTTCAATCTTTCAGACCTTCAAATAGGATTTTAAGTGTTTGATATTCATTAATTATATTGCTCTGTCTCTGACATAGAGCTCTCCCTGGATCTATATCCTTTGTTTTTATGGATTACTATTTATTATTATTATTATTAGTATATATATATATATATATATATATATATATATATATATATTAAAAATATGCATAATACTCAACATTGGTTTCATACCATCTACAATCCTCAGGTTCAATTTTTGGGTCTGTTTAATACTTCCGATTCCTGCAAGATATTTTATTGCTAGGGTGGAATAGTCTCTCGAGAGGATGCTTCCTGATCACTACAATTTTATCAACTTTTATTTTCAACTGTTATGTACTTTCACCATTTCATTCATTTACTATCTACCTTGAGTGTCTCTTGGCCCTTTTGTATCAGTGAATTATTTTTACCTATTCTCTATATGCTTGTGTTTCGTGTATACTTAAGTGCATGGGTGTGCATATGAATGCCTGTTTGTTGTTGAATATGTCTTTGAATGCCTATTTGAAATCCTTCTTCATGTTTGTTATAAAAATCTATAAATACTCTCTGCCACTTTCTGTTCCATGTTCCTTCCTGCAGATGTGGAAGCACGTGTGAAGACCTAACCGATATGGAAGCAAGACGACTGGTAAGTGATTCAAAATCCGTTCAATGTTTTACTGTTCATCTCAAAATTAGGAGTTCAGTTTTTATCAACAATCAGTGTACGCCCGTTTCCAGTGCGGCCATATTGATGTTACTTTTGCTGAATTTACCTGAGAAAATCAATCTTTTTAAACCTAATTCAGTAAAAGATGGCATTTCCTATTTCTGTTTATTTTGTTATAAGACATCAGAGAGTTTCATAGTGCGAACAATACTATCACTAATACTACTATTACTACTAATAATAATACTAATACTATTATTACTAATACTAATATTACTACTACTAATACTACTACTAATACTATTATTACTACTACTAATAATACTATTATTACTATTAATACTACTATTATTACTACTACTAATACTATTATTACTAATACTATTACTGTTACTACTAATATTAATACTACTACTAATAATAATAATACTATTACTACTACTAATAGTAATACTATTATTACTACTAATAATAATACTACTTTTACTACTATTACTACTACTACCAATAATAATAATAATGGTAATAATTAAACTTGACACCAAACAAGAAAATATCTCCTCCTCGACGTATCTGTTCCAGGTGGCCATCCTATCAAGGTCAAAGAAATTAAAAAGCTTAATAAGTACACTGATCTCTGGATTGAAAGTTTCAGAATAAGAAACGTTCAAGCAAGATATGATTGAGGCGTTGAGGTCTATATCACCGAACGCAAAGACTTACATTAAGAAAATCGGAATAAAGCTTAGTATCCCATCGCTTGAGAAGTCCTCGGTGCTTGGTGCTCCCTGTCTGAAATTGTAAAGCTTGATGGCGATCATCCATAATGCAAGATCTCCGATTGAAAAGAAAAAAAAAATGTGCAGAAGAAGATCACAATTTATGTTATAACAGGAATGGCTCACATGGCTTCTGATTTAATTGATTGGGCGCGTTAGCAATGTTACTTTCGTTGAACTCAACTGAGAAAATCGAGCTTTTAAAACGCTACTTAGTAAAAGATAACATTTTTTATTTCTGTTTTTGTCACAAAATATATGAGATTTTCATAGTGTTATAACAGGAGAGAGCTATAGAAGAAAGATTTATTGTTCCATTTTATTTCCCCCATTCTGGGCATTGTTATATCTGTGATATAATAAAACCGTAATTCACGGACAGAACGGAATGGCTGAAAGGAAAAGGAATGACAAACATGCTTTCGTTCTGAGAGAGACTTTTCTATTATTAAGACATACACTAAACTATATATACTAAAATACACGCGTCACACGCGGAAAACTATATATAGCAAAGCAGAGTGTAAGGAGGAACAAAAAGGAAAGGTTTTACATATAATGTGGAGATACTCAGAACTCTTAGAACTCCAGATTCAAACGAGTTGTTCATCTACTATATCCAAGGCGAGGACATATTCCTCGAAGGGGAAACGGCAAGTTTTGGGTTTTCCCAATTTGAGGACTGCGAGGCGAAGTTTCTTTCTATATATGAGAAATTTATATTCCCAAAGGGAAACGACACCATGTCCTTGCAAGCTGCTGGTGGAGGGAGATTTTGCCACATCCCGGGCCATTTGTCCCAAGTTAAAAAAAAAAGAAAGTAACCGCTCGGTTTGGCTGCCGTAAACAAACTGAATGACTGGCCACTTTCGTCACTCTCTGAAGTGACGTCACTAAGCGGCTATCACGTGATCCTTGTGACTATAACTATCCTATAGTGATACAGAAGGCGACTATCTCTAAAAGGAGATAATCACCTTCTGTATCCCTATAGGGTGAATACTACCACCACCATCAAACTAAAAAAACATATGGCCTAACCTGGTTCGTAGAGAAACCAAACTCCCGTTTTCCCTTCAGGAAATATTACAAGTAAGGTTCCCTTTTCTTACAAACCCTTTGTTGTATATGTTGTAATTTCTCTGCGTGGGACATGCGTATATGTGTATGTATCTAATTTTGTGTAAGACGTAGCATTATAAACCTCTCAAAGAACTAAGCATGTTTATTATTCTTTTCCCATTTAGCTATTCCGTCTGTGAATTACGGTGTTGTTATATCACGGATTTGACAATGCCCATAACAAGAGAATTGTAATTGAGAAAATAAATATTCCTTTCCCTTGCTCTCGTCAGAACTCAGTGCGTGTGTAATAACAAGAAAAATAATCATCAGGTTAGGTAAACTCAAAAGCGGAATGGTTTTGTTTTTCTATTACTTATTCAGAGGAGTAACCTTAGTAAAAAAATAAAAAGAAAAAAAGAAAAGAAACAGTTTCATTGTATAATCCAGAGAGCTAAATACAAACTCCAGTATGCAGAGAAAGTTCAATGGGCAGTAAAACCGGAAATCCATTGGTTTGCTAAACATTCTCCTGTAACATTCGCTGTGAATGACCTGCTAAAAACATCTCCTCCCCAAATTTAGAGACAAATCTCACGGTTTCAATCTGTTAAATTTGTTAGATAAAATGAAACTTTCCTCTCAGTCGTTCAAATCGGAAGTTAGTCAAACTGTTTTTTTTTTGTTTTTGTTTTTTGCGTAAAAGAGACAGATCAAGTTGGCTACACGTCAACTACTTGAAAGAAAATGTTAATTGAGACAAATTTAGCCATGATTCTCACATCTTTCCAGACGGCACCATTTAAACAGGTTTAGAATAAATATGGGTGGCGGACAATGAAGGAGGCCAGCTCTAATGAACGCTATATAAAACAGAACGAAAGATATCCAAACTTAATAAGATAGTATAAGGAATTTCGTTCGAGCAAATATGACGGGGGAGGATTTAAAATAATTTTAATCTCATATCCACCTTTTTTCCTTCTTTTTTGTGAGTCACTTAATCCTTGCGGGTTTCGCCTAACTGAAGAATGGAGGCAAATGGAAATCTGGTGTGAAAAGAGAAGTTGATATTTTTGGGATTAAATCCAAGTGTGTAGCCAAACAGACTGCTGACTTTATCATTAGAGCTGAAAAACTTAATCAAGTCAAATTTGTTTTCTTTTTCTTAACACTTCTACTGATGGATATTTATTTATACGTAACTTCCATAGATTCGCGATACACCCGGTTTAAAATTACTTTTTTTTTTTAAATGAAAAATCTTTCTTAAAGCTTTTATTTTAGTTTTAATTTCAAATAACAGATTAAATTTAATATTTACAATAAGCAAAATATTTTGCTCTATTTCTAAACTAATTTAAATTGATTGGAAGGAGATTTCATTTTGAAATTGTTGATTTTTATTTTTCATTTTAGAGATATTTTTAGCCACCTGCCATAAGAATGTAATTCACTTTATTAAATAATATTCTAAGAATAAAATAAACTTTTCTGAAACTTTATTTGATGAACATTAACTGATTTAAAGTATAATTAATATCATTTGAAACAAATATTATTTACTTTAAGTTTAAAATATCGCAGAAATGCATTTTTTAAACACGGCAGTAACTATTTATTTAAGCTGTGGTGATGCTGACAACTTTATGACAGATGGATGTTTATCTAATGTTGTTCTAGGGATGCTTTATCCGTAAAAAATAATTGAACAATATAACATGGACGCCTTTTATATATCATATTTAAGTATTCAGTAATCTTATAAATTTAGGAAAATATTCTCTGTTTTATTGAATTTTAGATACTTTAGCTTTAAATTTAGTATAGTTATCACTTTTATTTTATTTTTTTTTAATGTGTATGGACGTCCGTATCTACAAAAATCGGCATGTTTATACACATACAAAACAATTCAAAATTCTCTTTAAAATATTAGTGTTTGATGATTTGTTAAAATTAACTATTCATTGTCTTTTTCTTAAGACAACGGTGTCCTGAATATATCAAAAGCAATTAAAGCTTCTTAAATAATGTCTTAGTTATATTTCATTTTTTTATATTTTACGTTCCAAAGTAGATTTTCGATAAATGGTGTTTCTATTTTATAAAAAGAAAAAAGAAAAAAAGATGATTTAAATTCTCCAAGGAGTTCTGCTTTTAACTAACATAAATATTTAGTGGGTGAAATTTAATTTTACTTGAAATTACATAAAATTAAGTAAGTAGGTGTTTAACAGATTAATATATATATATATATATATATATATATATATATATATATATATATATATATATATATATATATATATATATATATATATATATATATATATATATATATATATATATATATTTTACCAAGATTTTTAAAAAAAATTTGTAAAATAATTAATTTGTGAATAAGTGAATAAGTCCTGAGTTTCATTAAAATCTAAAAAATATTTGATTTTTGCAAGAATTTCCAAAACAATGTGTTTTTCCTGCAAAAATGACGCTAAAATCTCCTATACTAATCCGCCGTTGACACAAAATTTCGAATGTGCTACAAAGGATTAAAAAATTTTAATTAAATAATCAAAAAACATTTTGTTATTTACTCTTAATAATATCATAAAGAGTTTGACGATAAAAATTTTTTTCATCGAATTATTGAAGGTACCTAACTATACGTCTTTATTATCTTTTATTATCTTCTTTTACCCGCTGTTGATGTATATATATATATATTTCCAAGACACTGTGAAATGTCTGTTTCTAGATTTCTTGCTATATTCTCACTAGCGCTTCGTGCTATTTCCACACCAGCGTAGACAAACAGAATGTTGCTTGCTTTGTCTTTGAACAAAGCAAATGCACATATATTGGATACCTCCAGGTAACAAATATCATTTCAAGGATGATAATGGTCGGTAGCCGTTTCCTTATAAGGAAACATTCTGCATTCATTGATCGAGCAGCCAGTGCTACTCGAGTTACGCTTTTCTTCACCCAGGCCATCCGACTGGTATCAAACTGTAGTGTCTATTCTCCTCATCCCTAATGGTAATGTTAATATTAGCCGTTTCCTTATAAGGGAACATTCGGCATTCATTGACCGAGCAGCGAGTGCTATTCGAGTTATGCTTTTCTTCATTC